GGCTTTCGATCAGAGATGGTGAGCTGCCTGAGAGGGACTCGCGAGGCTGTTATTAACATGGCGTGTCGGGTTGGGTATGACGGGACCACACAGTACCTGCTCCTTGACTTGCCCCGGGGACCGTGGGAATGTGGGCTGGACGCACAGGACCCGCTGACTTGTGCCCTGATGTGCAAGGAGCCGGCAAGCCTTGGAGAACCAGTGTGTGACTGTGATGGGTATTGGAGGTGTGGCGTGAAGTGAGCGTCGCATTTACTTCTCTGTTTCTAAGGGGATGAACGTGGATCCTAAAAATACTAACCAGCCTGCTGAGCACACTTAGAGATAAGTATCCTGACATTTAAAAATCAGTTTGCAGACACAGGAGAAAACTAAACATGAAATAATACAACTTCCTTTTTTTTTTTTTTAAAGGTTTCATTTATTTATTTGACAAAGATCACAAGTAGGCAGAGAGGCAGGCAGAGAGAGAGGAGGAAGCAGGCTCCCTGCTGAGCAGAGAGCCCGATGCGGGGCTCGATCCCAGGACCCTGAGACCACGACCTGAGCCGAAGTCAGAGGCTTTAACCCACTGAGCCACCCAGGCGACCCGAAATAATACAACTTCTGATGAGAAACAGATCCTCCCTGTAGGCTCTGAACCTAACAGTGAGATTGAGAGAGAAGCACACGGTGACCTCTGTCGGGCTCCGCTGGGACCGTGAGATGGATACTTGGAACGCGGCCGAGGGGTCAGAGAGTGGACATCAGTACCCGTACGGTTAGTTTGGAGTCATGTAGGAGCCCATTATAGACGAGATCTGTGCTCGACCAGCAGCGTGGTGCAGTCATAAAAATAAAATCCTGCCCAGGGTCCCGTCTTCCAGCGGTGACCAGGAGGGAGAGCGTCGCTGCAATAGGCCGGTCAGGTAGCTGGGACTGCACTGTGGACGTTGACCTTACTCTGGACTATTGTCTTACCCATTTTACTACATCTTCTCCCCGGCTTCTCAGGCAGGTCCCGCCTCCACTGGGCATGGCAGCGGGGCCGAGCTGCTCACCGTGGTTGCCCCGTGCAGGTTAGCGGAGACGACAGCCAGAGGCAGACTCACTCTGCATTCGGGTACTGAGTCCACGGATGCTGTGTTTGCTTCATCACTTAGTTTTCTGGCACAGGTGTTACAACCAGAGGCAGAGATTGTGTGAGTTAATGACGAAAGAGGCGTATCACCCATCTGATAACTAAGAAGCTGGGTTTAGGAATCCTCTGCGTAGGGATAAAACACGTCTGTTGTTTCTCCAAGTCTCCTTAAGAGCAGATCGAGAAACCGTCCTTCCTGCAAGACGTGGTGTCCCAGCAGCCTCCTGCTCCCGCATCATTCTTTGGTACCAAACGATACGAGAAAACGGAGCCCCCTGCACACAGTGAACCCGCACGATGCCAGGAGCCCAGCTGTTCTCACACCACGACTTCGGAAACAGATCTCCCAGGCCTCCCAGCCAGAGCAGCTCACGGCAGTGCCCCAGAGGGGTCCTCTGAGCAGCCTGCTCTTTGTGGATATGGGATTTGGGGCAGGAGGGGGGGGTTGGCTAGAGTGTTTTTACTTTCCTGTGTGTTGGGGGACTTGGTAGCTGGAGCAGGAGTGGAAAGAGAACCAGGGCGCCGTCCGTGTCCTGCTGGAGAGCTGGGAGGAGACGGTTGTCTGCGCATGTCTTGTGGAAGATTTTGCTGTAGGCAAAACCTTCAGTTAAAAATGAATAAATAAGACCATTAAAAATACAGTTTGGCTCCCCCATTTATCAGTAAAAAAGAGTACATTTAAAATCTGTATTAGTGCACTCAAATAAAAACTAAAAAAACATTTGAATACGGACCCTCTGATGAGCCCATAAGACAGGCAGAAGCACCTCTTCTGAGCAGTCGCCGTGTGGCTCGAGGCCACAGGGCCCGCTTTTGAAAAAGGACGTCATCTTTGACCCTCCTGTAGCATCCCCAGAGTTTGGGAGAGAAGCTTCTAATCAGTGCTCATGAAATGAGGCATTCTGAGAAGAAGGAAGCGTCACCAGATAAATGCCTCTTGGTTTCAAATATGAAAACGTAATTACTGCTGCAGCTCTGGTTCTGCGCTGTTCCTCTGGAAGCCGGTGCCCAGCCCAACATGGTAATAGGTGCGCCTTAGGCGTAAAGGCCACTGGTGTGGACAGAATCCCATCCCATTACTAGTTAAGTCAGTGTGTAAAGTGCCAGGCACACAGCAGGCACTCAGACCTTGTCAGTGCCGTGTCGGGCTTTTCTCTTCTCACACCCAGTTACGATTGGCCGCTGTCTGACCACACCTTCCTTCCCAGCGAGGACTGCCTGTCACACTTCGGCTGACACACTGGCTGGATACGGTGCAGGTAGCATCCATGGTACAAAGTAGAGCTGACTTCTTACTTCGCGAAAGAAGGAACTCTATCTACGGACTTGGCCGTCTGGAGTGTCTAGGCTGGGGATCGTTGGCCAGGTGGAACCTCTTGCCGTCAGGTGTGTTTCCCAGTGCTAGAACTGCTTTATGTCCGTTTTTGTGCTGATCTCTGGGGTGCCCACCGAATAGGTACTTTGTGTTCTCCATTCTGATGGATAAAGTGTGTTTAAAATTGAACGAAAGGTACATATTCTAGTGACATTTCATCTTTACTGTTATTTTATTCCTAACACTGTGTTTGTTTGGTTGGAGAAGGGAGGCAAGAATTCCTGGAACCCGGGCCACAGAAACATGTTGTCAAAGGCAATAGTGTCGGAAGGGCCATTTAAAAAATGTTAATATCGCTGTTTTAAATGCAAGATAGAATTTTTTTCTGCCCTGCGAAGCCTATCTTCAAAAAGAACCTCTTTGAAATTAACAAAACGCTTACGAAAATTCATACCAGCAATAAACATTAAATGATGGCGATTATTTTGATCGTATGTACTTACAATTATTTTCTCTCTACTGGAAGTATTCGCTTTGAATCAAAATAAGCTGTTATGCCTCGAGGTTATAGCATCTCTTCTAGGGCCTTTCGAGGATCCTGCGGTTACTGTTCTGATGTGTGTATGTTTGACGTTATCGGTAAATTATCTTCTTGCCGGAGATCCACTTAAGATGGAAATGTTGTCGGGGAGATAGTCTTTGAGACTAGTCCACAGTCTTCCTGGTGTTGGCATCACTGAAACTCCTTTCTTGTTTGACCACCAAATAACAAAACAAACAACCAAGGAAATAACGTTCTCTTCCTTTGGGGGTGAGCAGTTACTCTTCCGTCTGTAAGAGTTTGAAACATGCAGCTTGCGGGTCATTTGCCTCGTGTATAGACATACTCTAGACGTTTGCGTTGCTTTAACAGGAATTGAAAACTCTTACATTATAAATGACATTTAATGTTATATATAAATTATAATTATATATGCATTACAAAAGTTGATTAACTATAATGACCATGGTCTTAATATATATTCTTAGTTTTGACTTACTTAAATCATTTGTCATATTGCCTTTCAGAAAGACGGGAAAATAAGGCTGACAAATTTTAAATGAGCGTGTTATTTAATTACCCACAATAATCAGTATTTTTACAGCTGATTGATCTTTAGCAACACCTAAATTATTTTATCTTCCTAAAACATCCATAATTTTTGTCAGCTCTGTTAATTTCCCTGATTTAATTTTGTCCCTTAAATTTATAAAATGATTTTTCCTGATATACATTATTGTTTTCTGTGTCATTATAGGGAATATTATAGTTAGCAGTTGCTGACAATAATTGATTAGGGCTAACTTTCCCGTTATTGGCAATAATTTACATCATATGTTGCTCAGCATGGAGCTTGTAATTTAAAATGACTCATAGATTGCACGGTCTTTTGCCATTAATCAATATTACTGCATTTTGTTAGAATAAAGAGCATCAGGGGAGTTGATTCCATACTATTTTTAGTCAGAAAAGTAATAAATTTCATAATTTATGGTAGTACACATATTGCAACCAAATTATTTAAAATTTACAGTTACCTGTTGATATTGTATGCTCTCTATTCTTTAGTTAGTATTTAAAATGTTTGCATTTCCATCTCTGAGAAACTGTATCGGTATGAAAATTACAACTGATGTGAGCTGTCAATATAGGTAACAGTAGGTTCAAGCAAGCTTACAGGCAGAAGCAAAGTGAAGTATGGATTGATTTGGGAAAATGAAGTTTATGTATGTAACGTAAAATATTTCTCTTGCTAAAGTGTAAAGATACTGGCCAGATGCTTCTCGTTGCCTGGCCCCTTGACCTCCCCCGTGCATGTCGAGAGCAATGCCATGACCTTCCAGACTCGTCAGGTGCCAGCCCTGGGGTCAGGATGCTCTGGCCACAGCACTGGGCAGACGAGGGAAGGAAGTGTTCCCAGGACCCTTGCAGTCTGCCTGCCCAATCCTCTAGGCTCTCCCTGTCCTTTAAGACATGCCTCCCTCTGCTCCTTCTCAGCTCACCAGGTGCTGCGTGAGAACCCTCTGGATTTCCTGTCACTGCTTTTCTGTACATGTTTCATCTGCTGTCTTCTCGTGTCTTTGCCCAGATATGTGTCTTTGATGGTCAAAGATAAGCTAGAATGATTTTCAGTATATATTTGCAACTTGTAAGTTTTTCTTAAAAGAGAATAATGTAACATAAAATTTCTTCTAGATTGCCTGTAATACTCGAAGTGTAAAAGCTACTTCTTAAATACCAGTTTTAAACTCTTTTAAACCCTGTTACGTTGCAGATACTGTGAATTCAGTTGTCTTCGATGTTTAAGGGGCTCTTGATTTTAAGTGGGTAGCGGTCAGGAGTGAAAACACTGGGAATTTATAAGCTAAACAAATCTAATCAGATATGATACTGCCTCCTTTCTGCTTTCCCCCGAAGCCATCCTAAGACAGATCATCTCAGAATTATCTTGAACTTGAACCGACCATTTCCATTTCTCGTCTGTTTCACTCTTACTGTGTTCTCTCGGTCGGTGTCCATTTCAGTCTCAGCGGGCTGGGGAGAGATGCCTAACGTCCACTCAAAGGCTGAGAGCTCCTGGGGAGAGCCGTCCTCCCCCTCCGCCCTGGTTGACAACGGCACTGCAGCGTGGGGCAAGCCGCCCAGCAGCGGCAGCGGATGGGGGGACCCGCCCGCGGAGCCGCCAGTGACGTTCGGGAGAGCCAGCGCCCCCGCCGCCGCCCCAGCCCTGTGCAAACCAGGTAAGTCCGACCTGGGGCTTGACAAGTGGGTCAGGGTATTTTCTTGAGAGGTATACTTCCTGTCGAATTTTAAGAATTCAAAGTCTAGGACAATTTCCTCATTTTATTTGTACTTTAACACTAACATATTTGCTGTGTCTGGTATATGGACACAGAGGAGCTCCTAACAGAAGCCCATGCTCTCCTTTAAAAAAAAATTGGTTACCAGAATCCAGACCACACCACGTGTGTGCCGGCTACCCAGAGTAGCGGCCACGCCGCAACGGCGTCCTCACACCTGCCCCCCGCTCGCTGCTTCCCTGAGCGGCGGGATGAAGGAAGGCACGCCAGTGTCCCTTCCTGAGACCTCCGGTCCCTCCCAGCGGTTGGCCCTTGCTGCCTCGCTTGTGTCTCGTGAGCACAGCTCTGCTCTCGGTGCTCCAGGCTGACACGTTTTCTCCTCTTCCTGTCTCCTCTCGTCTCGTCTCGTCTCCTCTCGCCTCTTCTCTCTCTCTCTTTCTCTCTCTCGAAGAAAAGGAAGCAAACAGGTTGCATTGTCCTCCCATTCTCTGGAAACGTAAGAAGTACACCTGCGAAACGTCCTTTCTCACAGACGTCCGCATCGCGTTCACCGAGTGGAACTCTGTGACACATGAATTTGACAGTGCGATGCGTAGGACGTTAGTGGGAACCTACTATTGCGATTTAATAATAAGATCGGTTGTTAACGTGGCTGTAAAAGCTTCATATTCTCTTTGGACAGCCTTAAATGGCTTAGATCTTAAAATGCAACTGTTCGTTTTATATTTTTGCTGTTGCATTTTGCATTAGGTTTGTGTCTGTTACTTTGCTGACACTGGATTGTGTGCTCTGTATATCTACCATTCTGCCGGATGGTTTATTCCATTCATACAAATCTAAATGATGAGGTACTTACCATTTGTTGTTGCACATCTAAAGGATAAGGAGCTGCTCAGGCTGACATGCCATCTGGAGGGGGAGTATATTTGTTTTTATAATTTGAACTTGGAGGCACTAGGCTTGTCTGCCTTGAAAAAGCATCATATCTTCATAGTCTTACAAAGTCCAGCTGACTGTATTATCACTTAATCTTGGCCTTCTTCATCTTCTCCCAGGAAGTGAAAATCTGGGATAACTTTCGTACCCAAAATCACTTCATATCTTCAAAAAGTAGAAAAAACAATATCCTGAAATCAAAAGTCAGTAGTCAGGTTGTGGCTCCATCTGCCCGTGGCCTCAGCTGTCTCCATCCTACTGTTCTCAGAGTATCTCCTGGGAGCTTGACAGAAACAGACTGTCGGGCCCAACCGCAGATCTGTGCATTTCTCGTGAGCCCCAGGTCACTCGAGGCTGGTCGCGTCGAAGGAGCACGAGTGCTGCAGGTGTGGGCCAAGTGGTAATCAAAAACCACATGGGGGATGGTGATATTTTTCAGGACTCAGCATTTTACTGGCCATTTCATACCATGCAAACATTGTAGCCTCCTCCTGTGGCCCCCAGGATTTATTGTTAAAAAGTCCATGCTTCCGAATCACCTCCAGCCGGTTAAGGGATTTTGTAACAACCCAGATGACAAATAGTTGGAGTTTGAAGAAAAAAATATACACGTGTTTGCATATCTACTCTATAAGTCGTTCAAGAAATTCAGTTCTTAGGTCCTGGGGAAATGAAGTAGTAAAAAGGTAGATTACATTACACCGCTTTTGTCCCACCTCCCCCTAAATGTTATCTTACAGCATTTACTTTAGGAAAGGTGAGTTTGGTGAGTTCATGTTTGCTCTCTTTCTAGCTTCAAAATCTATGCAAGAAGGCTGGGGCAGTGGTGGGGACGACATGAACCTTGGCACCAGTCAGTGGGAAGACGAAGAAGGGGGCGTGTGGAATAATGCTGCTTCCCAAGAAAGCGCCTCCTCCTGCAGTTCCTGGGGGAGCGCCCCCAAAAAAGGACTCCCAAAGGTGTGTGCAACACTAAAGAAAAGAAACTCTAAAAATCAGTGGTGCTTAAAGACACGTTCGGGCCAGCGGTGCTATTCTAGTTAACAGCGACGGGTAGACCAGGAGTTCTCGAAGTGCTCTGGGTACTTCTGGAAGACCCCGAGATTTTGTCAGGGGTCTCACCTGAGCGAAGGCTGGCATTTTCCAGAGACTACCTGGCATTGCCGTCGTAGCATACCAAAGTCAGAGACAGATGTGAGAATCCAGCTGCTTCTAAGAAGCCAGACAGTAAAGAGATTTGCAAGCATGTCCAACAGTGTCACTCTTCTCACAGAACGTTCTTCTTTTAGAAAACATAGTTTTCCATTTAAAAAAGTATGTTATTGGTGTTAACATAGAATGGGTTTGTTATTGTAATTTTTAAACAAATTAACTTTTTAAATTTCTCAGTTTTAATTTCTAATAACCATAAATATTGATAAAAAAACAACCCATAAAACCAGAATTTCTTTAGAATCGTCAAATCTTTAAGAGAGGGTAATGGAGTTGGTCCTCAGACCATTAAGTCTGAAACTCCTGAGGTAGACCATTAAGTTGTCTTGTAGCAAACGGGCGGCTGCCTGGAAAAAATTAAGTGAGATCCACAACTCATATATGCACCAAAATAAAATCCAAGTAGATCACAAATTTAAGTATGATAAATAAAAAATATAAAAATGGGGAAGGATTTTAAAGACAGTCTTGGGAGTGGGAATGACCTTTCTAGCTAGGACTAAAATCTAAAAGCCATCAAATGGAAGACTTACAAACTTCAGTAGATATACATGAAAACTGTGCACGACAGAAAATACCAAGAAGTCAAAAGACAAATAACAAGCTGGAAAAAAATATTAGTATCCTAATATGGAGAGGGTGGATCTCCTGAATATATAAAGAAAGGTCCTAGAAACTGATTTTTTAAAAAATCAATTAGTAACCCACTAGAAAAAGGTGCAAAGAATATAAACAGAGGGTCCCTGGAGAAGGAATGCAGCGAGCTCGTACACAGACGAAGGGTGTTCAGCCTGACTTCCGGGAAGAGAGTTCAGTTTAAAACAACAGTGCGAGGGGCGCCTGGGGGGCTCAGTCGGTTCAGTGTCCGACTCTTGTTGCAGTTCGGGTCCCAATCCCAGGGTCCTGGGATCCAGCCCCCTGTCAGGCTCTGCGCTCGGTGCGGAATCCGCTTGTCCCTCTCCCTCTGCTCTTCTCCCCTCCCCCCACACCGTCTCTCAAAGAAATAAATAAGATCTTTTTAAAAAAATAAAGCAACACTGAAGATGCCAGCTTTCATCTCTCAGACCAGTGGAAATCCGCACGTCTCATACACGGGCCGCGCCGACAAAGCTGTTAGAAAACCAGCACCGCCGTCCGCTGCTGGTCAGACTGAACCAGTGTAAGCCGCACGGCGGGCAGCTTGGCGCCCTCTGTTTGCAGATCTGTCGGCGCGTGGGTGTGGCGCTTCCACTGGTCTCGGGTGCAGCAGATGGCATTTGTACACAACTCTCTGTTGCAGCGTGTTTGCAGTCAAATAAAATGATTTAAATGTGCATCAGTGGGGTGACTAGTTAGATGACAGCACGTCCACGCCGGGGAGAGCCAAACAGATTTTTGAACAAAAATTCTGTATATATTCTTACAGAAAGATCCCCCAAAGTATATCATTAAATGAAAAGGCAAGGTCCAGGAAAATGTATGCAGTACACACCTCCTTTGGTGGTAGGGAAGAGGAGAGTGCATGTGTGCCCGTGTGCGAAGGGGGATTTCCTCTTGGGGAGAGCGGGAACTAATTGGATGGAGGCGGGGGCAGGAAGACGATGCTTTGGTGTGTGCCCTTTTTCTACTTCCAGATCCTGTGAAGGTATTGTCTGTTCAAAAAAACTAATTTAACAAAGCGTTCAATTAGCAGTAAGCAGAACCCAGATGTGAGAATAAAATCAGAGCTCTCTTCATTAGGAGTAGAAATGATTACAGACATCAAAAAGGAGTCTTTAACAATTGGACTGGCAAATAATCTAATTAATGATGGGACCAGAAATACCAAATTGGTAAATTAAAATATTGTGTAATCTTGGCAGCTCTGGCCCTGCAGCGCAGCCGTGACTCCCATAGCCTTCGGGTAAGCGGCTTCCTCCAGGAAAGTGTGCCCACTCGCTTCATGTCACCCCATACCCTCCCTCCTCTGGTTAATGGCAGGCCCAGCTCTGTGAAGGATGGTTTTAGAGGAGGATATTTTTCCTACTATATTAACATGTGGTTGGAATCTCTGTGGTTGTGAGACTGGGAGGGAAATTGCTGGAAAATGGTTCACATCCACACTCAGGCCTCTTGCGCTGCCCTGCTCTCCCCTCCTCTGCCCTGCGCTTGCTCTCTCCTTTTCTCTCCATCTTGCCCCTCACCGATGTTTGCCCATTTACTTTCTTCCGTACCCTACAGGCTGCAGGCAGTGAGAAGTCAGTAGAATTAACAGGCTTGTTGTGCCTTTCATCTTGTTGCCTTTTCATTCTGTTGGAACAAATGCCCTCCATTTTGTCATCTCTCACAGTAAAGCTAATAGAAGGGCAGAAGACGTAAAATTTTTCATTTACTTCACATAGTATTAGCATAGGGCCGTGTTCAGAGGAGCCCTTACGATTATTTGATAATGAAAGTGGCACTTATTTGTGATAAACTAAATTCTCGGGGGAAGAAAAATAATTTTCTTGGTTTGTTTTTTTTTTTTTTTCCAAGATTAAATTTCAGAGAGAGCAAGAGAATGTGCAGGCATGAGTAGGGGAGGGACAGAGGGAGCAGCAGACTTACAGAGCAGGGAGCCTGTGTGGGACTTGGTCCCAGGACCCTGGAATCATAACCTGAGCTGAAGGCGGATGCTTAACCAACTGAGCCATCCAGGCACGCCAATTCTCTTGGTTTTTTAAGGTCTGTAAATGAGGGATGCCTGGGTGGCTCAGTCCGTTAGCGTCTGCCTTCAGCGTGGGTCACGATCTCAGGGTCCTGAGACTGAGGCCCACATCGGGCTCGCTGCTCAGTGGGAAGCCTGCTTCTCCTTCAGCCTTCCAGTCCCCCTGTTTATGTGTGCACACACTCTCTCTCTCTCTCCGACAAATAAATAAGATCTTTAAAAAATAAAGTCCATAAATTACACACATATGCCAACTTGCAAATGCGCCTGAAGCATCCCATAGGACTAGCCATGAAACAGAGTCGGGGACTTTCTGGTACACAGCATTAGTCACCATGAAGATTTTCTAACTTTTAAATCACGGAATTTTAGGCATCTCCCATTTCTAGAAGAAATGCATTAAAATGTGACCCATGCTTCTTTCTAGGGCATGAAGACGTCTGGCAAGCAGGATGAGGCCTGGATCATGAGCCGGCTGATGAAACAGCTCACAGACATGGGCTTCCCGGTGACTGGCGTCTTATTTTACCGCTCCCCTCCATGTGTGCTGCCATGCGTGGCCCTGACTGTGTCCTGCCCACGTTTGTCGTGCGTAACAAGGAAGATTTTTGAGGGAGGAGAATGTTCATACAACTTAACTCGTAAATTCCTCTTTCACACGAGCCCTTCTGGTTAGGGATCATTGCTTTTAGCCACAGCAAGGATCCACACCGTTTCTGCCAAGTAAGGTGTGAGAGCCTCTTCTGGAAGAAAACGTGCTGGGTCACGGCTCTGTTCATTGGCTTAGCCAGTGACATTCTTTCTTTTAATTTATAACTAAAAGTGAATTTTCATTAGTTCATGCAGCAGCTTGACAAATGATGAGAGAACACTTGGTATAAAGCTCTGTGTCCAGAAAAAGACTCCTCACCCAGCCTGTTGAGTTCCTGAGTCTCAGGGCCCAGGCCTGGAGAGTTCACGTCGCAGGATGGCCCTCTGAAAACGTGTCATGATCTGTTCAGTTCCTGAGATCAAATACCGGGGGTCAGATAGTGTGGATGTCACCTGCGTTTGTTATATCTTGCCTTCAGAAGTCTTCTCTCCAGATCACTGCTCAAACGAATATTTATCTTTTGATTACTGTGGATGTCCCTAAAGAAGGAGTCCAGAATGGCCCAGTCTAGAAACCATACACTTCATAGCAGGCCCAGGTCCTCTGACATGGAGCAGGGCACAGGCCCAGGAGTGGCCCAGCCTCTTCCTATGTGAGACACTGGAGGCCTGCCCAGGAGTCCCCATTTCCACTGTGGTGCTTGCACACACTAAAACCCTCTTTGCCTGCACAGGCATCTGTCCCATCGTAGGGGGGTTTATCCAAATGAATCAACTCGTTTTGTTTTGATCTGTCTTTACATTTCTTGGTGAAGAGTAGTTGACGGCCAAGCCCAGAGTCCGTGAAGGAGAGAATGGAGCTCTGTGCTCTAGCTCCCACAGCAGTTTTTCCGAAACTGTCCTGGTGGAGATGTCACCTTTGCTGAATGGTGGCTGCTTACATAGAGTCAATGATAAGATTCCACGGGCACTGTATTTAAGGTGTTAAATACAAATTCTTTAAAAGTCAGTTCAGTACATAGTCCTCTTCTATGTGCCTTTTACTTCAAAGACTTCTGTCTCTAGCCTGAACAATAAGAGAAGTATTTCCAGTTCTAAAACCTAGTAAGATAGGTTAATATTAGGTCAACAATAATCATTTCTCTAAGTTAGTAGGGATAGAACTCTTCGCTAGCTCTTTTGTTATCATAAAAGCATTGTCCTAACTAAAACCTTCTTTGCCTGCACAGAGAGAGCCGGCTGAAGAGGCCTTGAAGAGCAACAACATGAATCTCGACCAGGCCATGAGTAAGTAGCGTGACACACGCTTAGAGCGCGCTTGTTCTGAAGGTTCCGCTGTGTGGAGTTTAGATTTCCAGAAGCATTTCATTGTAGTCTTGGGTTAACGGGGAAAACCGCGCTGGGTAGACAGGACCAGGTTTCAGCAAAGGAGCAGCCACGCGCCGTGCGCTGGCCGTGCAGCAGCCTCTGCAGACGGGTGGCCTCGGGACGTGGAGGCGTGTTTGCTGCTTTCATTTTTCTCTAGTACTTCAGCAAACAGAAGAGTTTTTTCCCTCCGTTCCGAGGGGAGGTCCTAGTGACGTTCTTAGAGAAAAGCTCTAGGACCACAGGCCAGAATTCATCTGAAAATGACTGAGCCCATTCTTCATGGCCGGCCCCAGAACAGGCCTGCTCGGGGACCAGCAGAGAGACGCCAACGCCTGCGGAGCGCAGCCTCTGCGCGCAAGCTGAGATTGACCTCAACGACAAGCAGCCCTTGTTCTGGAGCTGCTTTAATAGTAATAATAACTGAAGGCGATAAAAGTCAGGTTGTGTTTTAGAATGGTATAATAAACTCTTAAATGCAGCATAAAGGTTACAGGAAAAGAGGATTAAACTTAACTGTGACTGCTACAACTTGGGAACAAAATCTCAGCATAAAAAGAGATCATTTGTGACGTCAAAAATGTAACGGGAAAAGCAAAGCCAAGGAGGAGAAATTGCTGTCAACAGAAAAAGGACTGTTCTCTCTGTGAGCCAGTTACGGTAGACCTCGTGGTGACCACGAAGCAAACATCCAGGACAGACTCACAAAACGGGGAGGCAGAGAGTGGAAAACCACCAGTACACAAAGGTGGACAGGAACGGAAGGAAAAACAGTGAAAAGACAGAATAACAGGAAGGCAAAGAAAGGATAGAAGGACAGCAGTAAGTCCTCATATGTCTGTAATCTCTCTCTTTTTCTTAAGACTTACTTGTTTATTTCAGAGAGAGAACGAGCATGAGCGGGAGGGGCAGAGAGAGGTGGAGAGAGGGAATCTCAAGCAGACTCCACACTGAGCACGGAGCCAGACGTGGGCCTCGGTCCCCGACCCTGAGACGACAACCTGAGCCAAAAGCAAGAGTCGTCCGCGTCACTGACCACACCACCCAGGCGCCCTGGCGGTGATCTCTCTTAATGGCGGTGCGCTAACTCACCAGTCAGAAGGCACAGAGCGACGGGCAATGGGCTGGATTAAAGCCACAAGTCCTGACTCTGTGCTGCCTGTCAGACTCCTGTAGCTCTGAGACACACACAGGCTCATGTGGAAAGGGAAATGATATTCCAGGCAAACAAACAAAAAGAAGGCAAGCACAGCTGGACTTGATACCAGACAAAATAGACTTAAAGCCAAAATGGGTCAGAGTCAGAGAAGGTGATTATATGACAAAAGGGGTCAATACATCAAGACGATGTAATGGTTGTAAAAATACATCCATTCTCCGCAGCCGACCGCCGAAGTGCAGTGAGTAATGAAGAACCGATCTTAAGGAAGAAGTAGCCAGTACAGTACTGGAGGGATGCCAGCTGCCTGCTGTCAGCTGTCAACGGTCACGAGACCATCAGACTGAAAATCAACAAGGAAAAATTGAAATGAACCACACTTTAAAGCAGATGGACTTAAAAGCCACACACAGATCATCCCATCCAACCCCAGCAGAACACACACATTTTCTAAGCATACGTGGAACTCCCTTCAGGATAGATACCCCCCTTTTTCTAAGGTTTTATTTTCAAGTAATCTCTACACCAAAGGTGGGACTCGAACTCAGTGCCCTTCCAGGATAGATCCTAATAGGCCATAAAACCAACCTAGTTTTGCGGGGCCTGAGTGGCTGTCAGTTAGGCTGTGAGCCCAGGGTCCTAGGATTAAGCCCTGTGTTGGGCTCCCTGCTCAGTGTGGAGTCTGCTTCTCCCTCTCCCTCTGCCGACCGCCTGCTTGTGCGCTGTCTCTCTTAAGTAAGTAAATAAAGTCTTTTATGTTTTTATTTTATTTTATTTTTTAAAGATTTTATTTATTTATTTGACAGAGAGAAAGATCACGAGTAGGCAGAGAGGCAGGCAGAGAGAGAAGGGGAAGCAGGCTCCCTGCTGAGCAGAGAGCCTGATGCGGGGCTCGATCCCAGGATCCTGGGATCATGACCGGAGCCGAAGGCAGAGGCTTAACCCACTGAGCCACCCAGGGGCCCCAAATAAGGTCTTTTAAAAAAGAGAGTGAGATTGAGTCAATAAATCAAAACACAGAGAACTCCAGGACCAGAAGACTCGCAGAAATTCTACCAAATACTAAAGAAGAATTAACACTAGTCCTTCTCAGACTCTTCCAAAATACTAAGAAGGGGACACTTCCAGACTCATTCTACAAGGCCAGCATTCCTCTGATGCCAAAACCAGCTGAGGATACCACGGGAAAACTACTGACCTGATCAGTAGATGCAGGAACTCTCCGCAAAGTATTCGCGAACTGAATTCAACGACACATGAGTAGGATTATATTCCATGACCAAGTGGGATTTGTACCAGGGGTGCAAAGTGACTTCAACATACACAAATCAATAAGTGTAACACATCTTGTCAATAAGATGAAAGAAAAATACCGCGATCATCTCAATAGAGAAGAAATATTTGACAAAATAACAGCATCCTTTCATGATTTAAAAAAAAGAAAAAAAAAAAACCCTTAGCAGACTGGGTATAGAAGGTACGTACCTCAACATAATAAAGGCCATACACAAGAAACCCACAGCTAACAGAGGAATTGAAAGCGTTTCCCCTAAGATCAGGAACAAGGCAAGGATGCCCATTTTCTCCACTCCTATTCAGTATAGTACCAGAAATCCTAGCCAGGGCAATCAGGCAGGACAAAGAAAAAGAAAAAAGGCATCCGTGTTGGAAAGGAAAGTCAAGTTCTCATTATTTGCTGATAATATGATCCTATATATAGAAAATTCCAAAAAATCAGTCAAAAAACGTAGAGTTAACAATTTCAGTAAACTGGCAGGATACAAAAATCAGCATCCAGAAATCAGTTGCATTCCTTTACAGTAATGATGAAGCTTTGGAAAAGAAATAAAACCAATTCATAATAGCATTCATAATAGCATTAAAAACAATAAAATACTTAGGAATAAATTTAACCAAGGAAGTGAGAGATCTGCACAGTGAAAATAGCAGGACTTTGCTGAAAGAAATTGGAGAAGACACAAGCAAATGGAAGGGCATCTCATGTTCGTGGATCAAAAAACTAATAGTGTAAAGACAGTTATGTTACCCAAGGCCATCTGTAGGTTAATTGCAATCCCCATCAAAAAACCAAAGCAATTCACAGAAGTAGAAGAAACAATTCCTAAAATGTGTGTGGAATCACAAAATAATCCTGTGAAAGAACAGTTGGCAGTGTCACACTTCTGGATTTCAGGCTGTACTACAGAGCCATAATAATCGAAACAGTGTGCTACTAGAACAAAAATAGACACATCTGGGCCCCCAGCTGGCTCAGTCAGTTGAGCATGTGACTTGATCTCAGGGTCATGAGTTCGAGGCCCATGTTGGGCCTAGAGCGTACCTAAAAAAAAAAAAAAAAAGAATTAGACTCATCAACCAGTGGATCAGAACAGAGCCCAGATTTGAACCCCAGCAGCTACAGTCAACAGAACACTCGGCAAAGGAGCCAAGAATACTCAGTGGGGAAAGGTTGGTGTATCTGACACATAGTTCTGGGAACAATGGAGAAACGTGCAGAACAATGAAACTGGACCCCTGTTTCACAGCACAAAAATTAGCTCGTAATGGATCAGAGGTTTAAACAGAAGATCTGATACCATAAAACTCCTAGAAAAAGAACTTAAAGAAGAGGCCTGTCAATATTGGTCTTAACAATGATTTGGGGGTGGGGGCTTGACATCAAAAGCACAAACAACTGTGGCTACATCAGACTCAAAAGTTCCGCACAGCAAAAGAAACAAGCCTAAAGAATGGGAGAAAAATTTTCAAGCCATATATTGGATAAGGGGTTAATATCCAAAATATATAAAGAACTCAGTCAACTGAAACCAAAAACGTATGGTTTTTAAAATGGGTAGAATAACTAAACAGACATTTCTGCAAAGAGGAGATCGGATGGCCAACAGACAGGAAGAGGTGTTAAGCATCCCTCACATCGGGGCAATGCAGATCAGAACCACAGTAAGATCTCACCTCACCCCTGTTGGAATGGCTTTCATCAGGACGACAAGGACGGATGCTGGTGAGGATGTGGTGAAAAGGGAACCCTGTGTACTGTCAGGACTGTAGATCTGTCCGACTGGTATGGAAAACCATATAGAGGTTCCTCAAAAGATGAAAAGTAGACTCACCGTACAACCCAGCAATTCCAGTTCTGGGTATATATGCGAAGGGTGAAAACGGGATTTTTTTTTTTTTTTAAGATTTTATTTATTTATTTGACAGAGATCACAGGTAGGCAGAGAGAAGAAGGGAGCAGGCTCCCTGCTGAGCAGAGAGCCCGATGTGGGGCTCCATCCCAGGACACTGTGATCATGACCTGAGTCGAAGGCGGAGGCTTAACCCATTGAGCCACCCAGGCGCCCCAGGATCTTTTTTTTTTAAGATTTTTTTTTTTTTTTTTCCACAGAGACTCAGAGAGGGAACACAGGCAGGAGTGGGCTGTGGGAGAGGAAGGAGCAGGCTTCCCACTAAGCAGGGAGCCTGGGGGCTCGACCCCAGGATCCTGGGATCATGACTTGAGCCAAAGGCAAGATGCTTAACAAATGAGCCACCCAGGCGCCCCTGAAAACAGGATTTGGACAGGATCTCTATACTTCCGTGTTCATTGCAGCATTACTCACAATAGCCAAGCTGTGGAAACAGCCCAAATGCCCATCAGTAGATGAATGGGCGAAAAAAATATGGTTCATGGACATGGTGGAATATATTCAGCTGTGAGAAAAGAGGGTTTCCTGCCATCGGCACCAACAAGGGCAGACCTTAAGCACTTGATGCTGAGTGAGCAGAGTCGGACAAAAATACTTCATGATCTCACTTAACACATGGCGTCTGTCCAAGTTCAACCTGTGGAGCACAGACAGCGAATGGTGGTTACTGGGTAGTGGGGCTGGGGGGATGGGCCGCGTAACAAGTGGAGGCAGGCCTCGGAGGTCCCGCGCGCAGTGGGCCGAGTGTAGCCGTGTTGTCGCGTAATTGCGTAATCTGCTAATCTGCCCCACGGCCGCCAGATGGCGGTGTATCAGTGTGCCAAAGTTCCATAGACGCCTGAAATTTACACAGTGGCGCGCGCCAGCTTTATTCAGCTAAAAGTGAATAAAATAATAATGATGTTTAGCAGCCACATGTAAAATGCGGCTGGTTCCCCAGGAAATACAGGGTCGGGTTGCTGCAAGCCTCTGGCCACAGCATTTTTGTTGACCGATCAGTACCTAACCTCGCTTTATGTGTGTTTCCATCGAAAGACGCTTTACTTGATAGAAGTTTCTCACAGGTAACAGTATGCCATATTTCTTTCTTTACAGTAAAACACTAGCTAGGAAAGATTTAGCATTTTCCTGACCCTGGGTCATGTGACCGTGAATCTGTGGCCATCTACTCTCAAGCTAACGCCATCTGCCACACTTTCTTAAAATTACACTATCTTGGGGCACGTGGGTGGCTCAGTGTGTTAAGCATCTAATTCTTCATCTCAGCTCAGGTCTTGGTCTCAGAGTCATGAGTCAAGCCCCATGCTGGCCTCCATGCTGGGCATGGAGCCAACTTAAAAAAATCAGCATCTTGTCATCCAAAAAGTTAGGCAGTCTTCCCATCCTTTCCATAGCTTCATTACACACTTAGATACTACTGAGCACCCTCACGTACAGATTGGTGACTCTTCTCTTCCTTTAGCCAGAGGCACCGTATCGTGGACTTGCTCACACCGTACTTGAACAGCAGCATGCCACTCATGCCTGAACAACACGTACCTAACCTGTGTTTTCTCCGTCAGGCACAACACTGCCTTCCTGCACTCAGGAACACAAGAGAGCACATTAGCACTACACTTGGGGTCCATTTTAAACACGGAAGTCACCAACAAGAAGCACAGAAACGTGGCACTGAATAGACCACAGAGGGATGCTTGTCACTGTAGAAGAGCTCAGCAAGAAGCCAGCATCTCGTTTGGCCTGAGTTAGGAATGTGTACATCGGGCAACCAACATTTTTCACCACCCTGCGCGTGTCCACAAAAGTACACAATTACTGTTCTGGGGGCTACAGATAAATTTGGCCAGCCTGTGCATTTACGAGCACAGAATCCATGAATGATGAGAACCAACTTTGTAATCAGCGTGCGGGTGCGGAAATGTGTGGCACAAGCTGCTAGGACAGAAATGACAATCCGTGTGAGCTGGAAGAAATTATTGTAACTTGTTAGAAGTGTAAAATAGCACAAAGTCAAAGATAGCCATGCCAAACCAGTCACTAGCCTGAGAGCCCCTGAGGACAAAAACCTTGTCTGTTTGCATGGTATCATGTCCCCAGTATCTGGAAGAGCCCTTGCAGCCCTTGGGGGTGCAGGAAATGGAAACCACAGGCCGTGAGGGCAGCAGCACCATTTTAAACAGGAAGATCAGGACAGGAACACAACAGGGAAGGCTGTGTGAAGAAGGGGGTACATCCCTGTGGGGAGGGAGGGCAGGCGCCTGCAGGGCGGAGTGGCAGGTGTGATTGGAGTGGGCGGGGCAGGAGCAGGGGCGAGAGCCGGGCCCCCCCCCCCCCCCCGTCATAGACCGTGGGGGGTCACAGGAGCAAAACCATAGCCTCCCTGTTTTCCATGGGGTTGAGAGACTCAAACTGGTGCCCATCTTGTGCTCGGCACTCCTGACTGACACTCCTGGGGCATTTAGGTGTAAGTGTTGCTTCTGTTTGCTCCAGGCGCCCTGCTGGAAAAGAAGGTGGACGTGGACAAGCGTGGACTGGGAGTGACCGACTACAATGGAGTGGTCACCAAAGCCCTTGGCTGCCGCCCACCAGTCTCCAAAGACTCTTCCGGGGACCGCCCCACCTTTCTCGACAAGGTATGGATTTAGGGGGTGCTTTGTTTGTTCGTTTTTAACAAGAGGTATTTTTCATTTTAACTGTGTCCTTAATGCAAGCTGGATTGAGTATTTGGCTGACTATAATATTTAAGTGGCCGCTCGCTTTTTAAAAATGTGTATGAATGTTTAGCTCAGAAGAAATAGTGTCGTACTTCACACAACGTGACTAGGGGTAAAAAATACAGAAACTGAAAACATTTTCATTTTAGTGAGTGAACTTGGCTAGGTTATCTGCTTCCATTTGTCCAATAACAAGGGTCATCAAATTTCTGTTTTACTGTCTTATTTTATAAGACATTGGAAATAATGTGTGACATGTTTAATCTGAGGAGAAGAAACTGGAGGTGGTTGGGCGCAGGCATCTTTGTCTGGCCCGCCCAGCTCAGCTGCTGCAGAGCGCGTGCAGATGTCTGTTGGAAGCCCCTGGGGGGCTCACGTGTCCGAATGCCAGTTTGGTCCTTTCAGGACTGTCATGTAGTGATGTCCCTGCTCCAGATGGGTGTGCCTTCAAAAGGAAGAGGAGAATAGGATCCCGTGAAATTCAGTCAAAATGTTGAACCTTGAAAATAAAACTGAAGCAAGAAACGGCAGGTTTAGCAACAAAGCTGGAAGAAAGGCTCACAGGAGAGAGCTCTAGCCCTTCATCTCTGCTCACAGAGAAACGGGGTCCCTTGCTACACTTCGCAGCAGAAAGCTGTGGCTAGGGAAAGCCTGGAGGGAAGGTCAGGTCATACCCTGCCCGCCTGCTGTGGGTCCATTCATGTCCAAGATGCTTAGTGAAATTCCAGTTTAATTTGGTATCCTGTATTTTTACTTGGGAAGTGCGGGACCCTGACTTACTTCCTTATCTTTAAAATGTAGAATAATACCAAAAAGAAAAAGAAGAGTGCTTGCTTCAGCAGCACATATACTAAAAAAAAAAAAAAAAAAAGAAGAAAAATGTAGACGACTACACACTGGTTGTGAAGTCAGAGGAGATAAATTTGCAAAGGGCCTGACATATAATGTGACCTTAATAATGTACAGGAGAGTTAGTAAGATCCGTCTGCTCTATGACTTACCCTATTACTGGATTAAACCATGTGAAATTGCTGTTGGTAAGTCAAAAACAGCTGGATGTCAGCAGAATGTAACCCAGTGCACCCCTAGAGCCTTGGTACTGAAAGAAAGGAGCCTGTTTATTTGAAAATGGTTGTGAAGTGTTGCCCAAATAAGACTTCTACTAATGTTTCCGGGCTTCTCCTGAGCCCTGTCCCTGGGCGGGGTTGGCGGGGTCAGAGCACGTTGTAAGCTAATGTATGTGTTTATGAAGTGATTGTTAGAACGAGAGCAGCATCTTAATCCTGTTTCTCTTTTTCTTTTCCCCTCTTCCTTTGGCCCATGTTCTCCATTCTCTTGTTATCCACTCTTTTTTGATCTTTTAATTCTTCTTCCATCCATACCCTTTTATATGTTCTTGGGAAACTGCTTTGTGCTCTGTCTGCGGATGGACGCCGCACACAGCTCACCCTTTCTTTCTCCAATCAGGACGGCGGCCTAGTGGAAGAGCCCACGACTTCACCGTTTTTGCCTTCACCAAGCCTGAAGCTCCCCCTTTCAAACAGTGCACTCCCTAATCAGGCCCTGGGTGGGATTGCCCCAGGGCTGGGCATGCAAAACTTGAATTCTTCTAGACAGGTAAGGCTTGGGCAGAGAGCCGGCGCGATCTCAGTTTCACCTGCCTCTAACAGATGTGTTTGGGACGTGCACTTTGATTTTTAATTAATGCCTGTACTTTAAAATACAGTCGAATATGTCAAGGTAGCTGAAATACTAGAATTGTGCTGTCCAGGTACTGAGAGTTGAATCCGGTTCTTGAAATTGAACCGTGTTAGAGGAAGTGGGTCCGGGTGATGCCATCCTTCTCCTGGCCGTCCAAACCTTGCATACACTGGTCTTTGAGAAAACAGCACATGCTCGCCCTGCTCCCTGAAATAAAAGTGACATCTCAGTGGTTTCCAGAGAGCCACACTGACATTTTCCCTTCCCTGACACTCAGGGGAGGTGAGAGTCCCTGTCAGGCATCACAGAAGGGAGGACTGTAAGTGTGTATTGGCTGCTGCTCCGTGGCCCTTGTGTCTCCCAGTCCCCCAGAGGACGGGACCTGCAGGCCGATGGTGCCTTTCCCATCTGGGGGACGTCCTTTCCGTGGATTTCCTTGCACGTGAGGCTGACACGCACCCATCTCTGAAACATCTCTCCAAGGCGCCACTGTGATGATCGGGTTGGCCCGACAGTACGCATGTGCGCCTGTCGTCCCAGGGTAGCAGCGGCACCCCAGCCGGCGGCCTCCCGGTGCTAGCGCCAGTGGTAGTTCAGTGCCGCGCCTGCTTAACCGGGCTCCTGCCATCGGACGGCGAGCAGGCCAGCGGGGCGGGGAGCGAGCCCACCTGGAGGCTTTTCTACTCAGCGTCCCGCAGGGCTCTTAGGCCCGCAGAGCACAACGGGCCCCGAAAACGGATTGGTTACGTTTAACACGAAGGTAGCGACCTGGATCTACCTATTTGTTCAGCTTCTGCTTCGGTGGAAGTTGTATTGCTCTTTCCTGTTCGAATGTTGCTGTCTCCAGGTTAGTAGTCCCCACCCCTTACCGCTCGGCACCCCACCACGGTGTCCTGCGGGAAGAGCTGTGAAGCCAGTAGCGACGCGTTGCTCTTGTTTGGCGCGCCCTGGGGTGATGCTTTCTTCGGATGTGATGGCCTTGTCCGGGGCCCCCTTGGACTGACTCCGTTGCGTGGCTTCTGTGATCGACACACGCAGTCCGCCTTCGTGCGCAGCCGCTCTGCGTGGCAGCGGGCACCGTGAGTGCGCTTCGGTGTGAGTCGACAGTGGAAGGAAGTAGGGACGGTCTTGCTGTCCCGTGCAGGCCAGCAAAGCCCCCTGCGGGGCTCCCGTCGCACCAGCCCCCGACCGACCCGGCCCCTCCCATGTCCCCGCAGATCCCGAGTGGCAATCTGGGCATGTTCGGCAGTAGTGGAGCAGCACAAGCCAGGACCATGCAACAGCCGCCGCAGCCCCCCGTGCAGCCTCTGAGCTCCTCCCAGCCCAGCCTCCGTGCTCAAGTGCCTCCGTTTCTATCCCCTCAGGTGGGCCCCGTAGCCGCGCGTGCCGATGCAGGTGCTCCGATGGCGGGTGGCGTCGGTGCCGTGGCGACATCACTCGTAACGCGAGGGCGAGTTCACCCACCCCAAGCACGGTCATGTCAGCCCGTCCGCAGGGGGCATCTGCAGGACGGCCCCTTGGAGCGGCTCAGTGTCCACCGCCCGTAGGGAGCAGGGTCCCTGGGGGAAAGGATACGCCTCCCACGCTGCCGTGGTGCGGTTTTTGTCCAGGTCTTAGAATTATTCAGGTGAACCCGATGAATTGTCCTAGCTGGGAGAGGAACGTGACACGCCGAAATATTGCTTAGCCCAGAAGGGAGCGGGTAGGAGCACGTAGGAGCCCTCGGGGCTGAAGAATGCTTCAGGGGCCACCTGCATGTGATCATAGGTCATATTATAAATTAATATAACTTATTATATTAATTTGGCTGCTTAGTTAAGTTCATTACTTAGTATTAGACTATTTTTGCCCATAGAGGTTCTTTAAAAAAAAAAAAAAAGGTGTCAAACAGAAAAGGAGAAGGATATCTTGTTTGGCATAGCTCTTAAAGCATATGGATTTTTTTCATGTTAATATTGTTTACTTTTAGAACATTCCCTAATTTTACACTTTGGACTGAGTTTTTCCTTATAGTGTTTCAGTCCTCATCCCTTATAAAAACTCAGTAATAGAGACTAATGGTAAGTTATAGAATTAGCTGGAAGTAGTTAACCCTCCACAGCTGGTTGACCCCAGATTTGTGCGCTGAGCTGAGGCAGCTGAGATGTAGGTGAAGTAATTGTCCGGTTCATTCGTCAGGATGAAGGGTGAGCTGCCCTACCACAGGCCCCAGAGTACAGAGGCTTCCACAAGATAGGGTTTGCTTCCCTGGGTGGCCGTGCAGGGGGCAGCCACTCAGGGCTGTGGGGCACCCCTACCGCAGCCCTTCCCGATCGCTGGGCGCTGCACAGAACACTTCCACTCGCGTCCCACTGCCCAAGCCTGGGGACACAGCCAGCCCAGCCCGAGGGGCAGAAGGAGAGCTGGGCCTGGGTGATGGGCAGCGGGCTTCCCACACTCACAGAGCGCGTGTCACCCTCGTGCCCCCCACGTTACCTGTGCTATGACACAGCGTGCTTTCTTTAAATGACTTGCCTGCTTAAATAAATCTATTCTTCAAACTTTACATATCTCTCAAAAGTAGAAAAATCACATTTTTCTGGTAACACATTAGACAACTATTAAAGTAAAAGATGCCCATCCGCGTTCTACCTAAAATCATCTTTCATCCAGTTGTGATAAACACACGTGGCATGTGGTGGAAAGCACTGGAATCTCCAAACCGTCCCCGGACTGTTCCAGCACAGTGAATGCCAGTTGAAGGGGCCCCCTGAATGCGCACATGGCTTGATGGGCCAGGGCAGGGCTGGCAGAGGGGCCTAGACCCCTTCCCCGAAGCCCCACATTCACTCTTTCCTGAAATTAGGCCAGTTATTTCACAATGACAGAATGGGAGCTCAGTTTTCGATAGGAGTCACCCAGAGCCCTTGTACCTTACGTCATGACCGAAATATTTGGAGTGGGGAGGCTCTTTCTCTCCGTCCGTCCTTATTTTCCACAGAAGCACATTAACTACTAGTGGTAAAAGCCCGTGAGTATTTTAATGGGTTTCGAAGTTCATTCTGAAGACAAGCTTAACTGTCGGTAACTCATCAGTTCCGCATCTTGAAAACTGCCTGGACGGGCGGCCGTTTCGACAGGGACGCGGTGCCTGACACTTTTTGTTGTGTCCCACAGGTTCAAGCACAGCTTTTGCAGTTTGCAGCAAAAAACATTGGTCTCAACCCTGCACTATTGACCTCGCCAATCAATCCTCAGCATATGACGATGTTGAACCAGCTCTATCAGCTGCAGCTGGTAAGCGGACGCTTTAGCTTCTAGAACCTCGGAGGAGTGCGCGCTGCCGTTCACGTGGCTGGCAGCGGCCTAGCCGCCGACTGACGAAAGTACTTCACGCCTTGCGCTCTTCCTGGCGGGCAATGTCACTGAGACTTTCATAAATTTTTTTTTTAATTTTTTATTTTATTTGACAGAGAGACAGATCACAAGGAGGCAGAGAGGCAGGCGGGGGCGGGGGGGAAGCAGGCTCCCTGCTGAGCAGAGAGCCCGATGTGGGGCTAGATCCCAGGACCCTGAGATCATGACCTGAGCTGAAGGCAGAGGCTTAACCCACTGAGCCACCCAGGTGCCCCTTTCATAAATTTTTTTAGACTTTTAAAAAAATTAGGCAGTTTTGTACTCAAGGGTGTTTTCCCTCAGCTTTGTGAATTCTCTGGCCCCTTCACAGAGTGTCCCAGACCTCACCAGGAGGCGTGTCCTTCACTCTGGGTCTCTGCTAGCCTTTCCGATCCACAGCTTCCCATCAGGACCCCAGAACACAGAAACTCATTTGAGGGACAGTTTTCTAAATTCTTCAAGGTGGGGGAACACAGAGACTGTTCTGGAAGCATGAAAGAGAAATTACTTTATTACATACAGTAGATGCCTTAGAGGTTAGGGCTTGATCTTCACAGTCCCTGTGGGGAAGGCTGATGTAGCCTAATAGTTCTTGAAAGTTTTACAATTTAACTTACCTTAAATTTTTAATTTTCAAGAATCTTACTGCTTTTTTTTTTTTTTAAAGATTTTATTTATTTGACAGAGATCACAAGTAGGCAGAGAGGCAGGCAGAGAGAGAGGAGGAAGAAGGCTCCCTGCTGAGCAGAGAGCCCGATGCGGGGCTCAATCCCAGGACCCTGGGACCATGACCCGAGCCGAAGGCAGAGGCTTAACCCACCGAGCCACCCAGGCGCCCCAAGAATCTTACTGCTCTTAACATAAAATGCCATGTCGCTGTATCATCTCTAGATGCGTCCTGGATTCATATACACTGAAGGACCTTTCTGTAATATGCTGACACCTGCTTTCTTTCAAAGTCTTGTTCAACAACTTCATCTCCTTGAAAAGGACCAGGAATTGGGGCACCTGGGTGGCTCAGTGGGTTAAGCATCTGCCTTTGGCCCAGGTCATGATCCCAGACTCCCGGGATCGAGTCCCGCATCGGGCTCCCAGCTCCACGGGGAGTCTGCTTCTCCCTCTGACCTTCTCCCCTCTCATGCTCTCTCTCGCTCTCTCTCTCTCAAATAAATAAATAAAAATCTTTTAAAAATAAGGAAAAAAAAGAAAAGGACCAGGAATCATTAAGGAAGGAAAAAAGGCCTCTGATAAACTAAAACATTGATGCGAAAGCTTTCCTTACAGAAGAGCCCCAGGCCCTGTCAGCCCTATAACCCGCACTGGCTATTAGGCTCCATCTAACCAGTCCAAAGGGCTGGTTTTCCAGTAAGTAGAGCCCCAAGCCCTGCTCACTACTAGAAACCTGACAGTGACATTGGAGCCCGGCCTGTGCCTCTCGTTTCGGCCTTGTTGGTGCTCTTGACAGCAGCAGCCGGGACATTCATGTGCGCCACGATGGCGGCGAGGAAAGACGGCAGAAAAGGCAAGAAAATCTTGAATTATGTTAAATATGTTCTGTTTTACAAACAGGGCTTACTGTTTTTAATTTTATTTTCAAAATAATTGGTAAAATGAAATTTTGGTGCATCCTGAGGTTGAGTTTTAGGGCCTTTAAGGATTCACTTAAGTAGAGTATTTTATTCCTCCATAACTTACAGATTAACGAGGCATTTCTAATAGTACAGTCTCTACCTTTATGTGGATCCTGTTTTAATAAATCCACTTGCTAAACATGTCCTAAAAAATCCATGTCATGGGGTGCCTGGGTGGCTCAGTGGTTTAAGCTGCCTTCAGCTCAGGTCATGGTCTCAGGGTCCTGGGATCGAGCCCCACATCAGGTTCTCTGCTCTGCCTGCCTTTCTGCCTGCTTGTGATCTCTGTCTGTCAAATAAATAAATCTTTAAAAAAAAAATCCATGTCCTGAGAAAACAGGGTATGATAGGCAGCCAGCATTTCGAAGCGATCGGATGATGGAACTTGTGCATGGCTGTGTGGGAGGTGCTCACGCCCCCTTGAACCAGCTTGGCAGGCGGGGCCGGGGCCTGTGATGGGGCTGCGCAGGCTCTAGGTTTCAGGCCGCCTGTGGGGGAGCATCACGTGGCACCCGGCACTCGAGCCGTGAGCATGTTGTTCTGATTGTCTGGGGTGGCGAGTCACTGCTCTTCTACCAGCCTCTGAGCCATTCTGGACAACTTTCATCCAGGTCACTGTAAGAATCAATAGTTTTTCATTGTCCCATCACTTCTTTTTACTTCTAGCTTATAAGATTTGAGCAGAAGAATTTTGATCTCTCCATTAACTGAAAAATATTTGCTGGGGCACCTGGGTGGCTCACTCATTAAGTGCCTGCCTTCAGCTTACGTCATGATCCCAGGGAGCCCATCGGGCTCCCTGCTTGGCGGGAAGCCTGCTTCTCCCTCTGCCACTCCCCCTGCTTGTGCTCCCTCTCTTGCTGTGTCTCTCAAAATAAATAAAATCATTTTTTAAAAAAAAGAAGAAAGAAAAATATTTGCTAAGAAATCTCATTGCCTACACTAAGCAGGGGTACTGACTGAACTACTTTTTGAAAATCTGTGTGCTAGAAGGGTTTGGGAAAGACATTTCTCCTTTTAAAAAGGCTTCTCCCTCATGGAATACTTAAACCACAGTATAGTAAGGGGACCAAGAATCTTGGCTATTTTCTCTCTTTCTCTCTTTTTAATATACAAAAGTTGAACCATCTGTTGATGGCCTCCTACAGTATTTGAACTGTTTTCTGTCAACAGGCGTACCAACGTTTACAAATCCAGCAGCAGATGCTACAGGCTCAGCGTAATGTTTCCGGACCCATGAGACAACAGGAGCAGCAAGTAGGTATCGAGGGGCGTGTGGCTGCCCTCCCCAGCGCCCACCGTCCCTGAGCTCATGATGCTAAATGGCAAACTGTTCCGTTGTTGACTTTCCTCTCGCTGAGCCTCCCTTTTAGCCATCTCGGGGGCATCTTAGTTTGGGAGCAGGCGGGTCCAGCCAGCAGAGACCGGGGGCCGCTTTCGCGCCTTTTCCGACTTGCGTGTCCGCTGCCAGGTCGCGCGCACAATCACGAACCTGCAGCAGCAGATCCAGCAGCACCAGCGCCAGCTGGCCCAGGCCCTGCTCGTGAAGCCGCCGCCGCCGCCGCCGCCGCACCTGCCTCTGCACCCCTCTGCAGGCAAATCGGCCATGGACAGCTTCCCCCCGCACTCCCAGGCCCCCGGCCTGCCTGACCTGCAGACCAAAGAGCCGCAGGCTTCACCCAGCACCTTTGCTCCTTATCCTCTCGGTGAGTCCCCGCGGGGCCGGCCCGCTCGCTGTCCCCGGCTTCCTGCTGAGGGAGCAGCACCGGCCATCTTCTGCAGAGCGAAGTTCTGCTTCGGCCATACATACCTCTGGTCTAAAGTCTTTTAAAGTAGCACCAGCGAAAGCCCTGGAATTCCCTCAGTTTGTACTGTTCCCGATTTCCTCCTCTTCAGCGGCCGCTGTCCCCCAACCTAACTGCAGGGACGAGCTTGTGATGGTTTTACCGGTAAAGCTGTTTAGATTTTTACGAATCAGGTACTTCTTGGAAACCAGCGGTGGCCTGTCCAAGCCCTGCAGTGTAGAAGATGTTTGTGTAATCCGCCAAGTCAGCACGTATGCGTTGACCCCTGACCGGGTCGTAGGACGCATGCTCAGCCCATGAAACCCACAGGTCTGCAGAAGGCACGGGGCTTCCCTCCAGGTCCTGCTAACCAGCCAGGAGGGGCACAGGTTCCATAACCACAGGCAGGATCAAGGAAACGTCCCAGGGAGGGACATGTCAGTAAACGGATTATAAACAGTTTGATGTAGGGGTCCAGAACCTGGCGGCAGCTCTCAGGCTTGTTTGCCAGCTGAGTGTTAGTGTGAAGCTGCAGGACAAAGGGAGTTAGTAACCCAGGAAGGACATAGCCAGAGGAACAAAGGTCAGATGCATGACAGTGAGTGTGCTACTGGCTGATGGGGTCCCTCTCCTTGTTGCTGCCCTAAAAGAGCCGTAAATCCTCATGGTACGAGCATGTTCTCCTTGACATGCGGTCACTGTGGTATGTCCTTAATATGAACCTGGTGGGTGCTAACTGTGCTCATCCCTCCCCTTCTCGTGGCCCCATGCTCCCAGCCCTTATGTGCACATGGGAGGACAGTCTGGTGGCCGAGGCCTGGCTGGGGAGGTGGCCCGCCACGCCGAGTCCCAGCTCTACCGGGGCCGGCTCAGCACTTCCTGCATGACTTGCCCGACTGACTCTGTCTCAATTCCCCATTTAAACTGGGGATATTTCCCTCCTGGGGTCCTTTAAAGATTAAGTAAGATAACACAAGAAGTTCGCGGGACAGTGCCGCGTGCCGCCAGCCCTTTGGGAGACGTGACCCAGACTGAAGCACGTCTTGTTTCAGGCCCTTTCAGAGACAGATTCTGTTGTCTGGCGCCCGCAGGGCTTCCGCTGCAGCTTCCTAGAGGCATCTGGCCTCTCAGCCTGTTTTTGGAGAGTAGAGTACAATCATCTGTATTCTTAAAGGTTTTTCCTTAGCACAAATGAAAGAATTAGTACAGTGGCTCTTCAAAATTAGATGAAAAATAATTTTGATACTATTTTATGATACTCACATTAAACTTACAAACTTACTGAAAATATATAGTAGGACGCCTGGCTGGCTCAGTCGCTAGAGCATATGACTCCTGATCTCGGGGTTGTGAGTTTAAGCCCCCCACTGACTGTAGAGATTACTAAAAATAAAATACAAGAAAAAAAAAGAAAGAAAAGAAAAGAAATAGCTAATCAGGCGCACCTGGTGGCTCAGTCAGTTAAGTGTCTGCCTTCAGCTCTGGTCCTGATCCCAGCGTCCTAGGATCAAGCCTCACGTCGGGCTCCCTGCTCAGCGGGGGTCCACTTCTCCCTCTGCCTCTGCTGCACCCCCTGCTTGTGTGCTCTTTCTCTCTGACAAACAAATAAAAATTGTAGGAGAAAAAGAAGTAGCTAATCCAGTATAAGAAACGTAGCCTGTAAGATGGCCTCTCTGCTTGGTTCTTGGCATTTTTCGTCAGCGGTTGTAGCCCCGCCCTCCTCCCCATGCAGTGTCTCCTTGCGTTGCCGTCTCTTGGCTGCTGGAACTGTCATCCACATGGGAAGACCAGGTGTAGAATAATGAAAAGTAGCCTTCGCAGGCAGTGCTACAGGGAGGGGAGAGCTCGTGCTCACCTTGAGTGGCGAAGGAAAGACCCGCACTAGGGGCTGCACTCGGATCTCAGATGAGCAGGGCCTCGGTGACCAGAGCCTGGCTGGACAGGGCGTGCCCCGGGTGGTCGTGCCGACTCGTGGCGGGGGTCCACAGGTGAGCGGGCATGCTGGGGAGCTGGGTGAAGGCCCAAAACTTTGAAGGCCAGGCTGGAACCCAGCCTCGTGGTCCCCTCACCCGACTAGGTCAGTGCAAAATGGAAGCGAAGATTGCTGTCCGTGCCAGCCTCACACAGGCAGCCGCTGGCCGCCTCACCTGCACAGGTGTTGTGTTTTGGCTGCAAAGTGTGTGTGTGTGTGTGTGTGTGTGTGTGTGTGTGTGTGTGTGGCCAACATTTAAAAATCTTCAAATGACAGTAACTTCTGGCTTCTTTTAAAATGGCTCCGTGGGGCACCTGGGTGGCTCATTGGGTTAGGCCTCTGCCTTCAGCTCGGGTCACGATCTCGGGGTCCTGGGATCGAGCCCCGGGTTGGGCTCCCTGCTCAGTGGAAGGCCTGCTTCCCTCCTCTCTCTCTGCCTGCCTCTCTGCCTACTTGTGATCTCTGTCAAGCAAATAAATAAAATCTTAAAAAAATATATTTAATAAATAAATAAAATAAAATAAAATGGCCCGTGGGGTTTGCCTTCCATGTGGCTGTCGCAGGCTGGCACCAGCCGCTGGCACTTCAGGCGGGACAAGCAACATCCCCACCGTGCCCACTTCTCAGCCACTTGGCCCATGTAGGCATTGGAGTTTGCAGACGCAGATTTAAAGTCAAGAACAAACCTGTTCAGTACCTTGCTTAGGAATAGAGATGCACTTTGACCAACGTACCAAGATGATGGTCTGTGAATCCTGGGGTGCACGCCTGCCCGTTACTCTCCGCCAGCCGAGCATTCAGTCCCGCTCGTAACTGGTGTCCCCACTGGTCAGTCTTTCTCGTCCTCCTCGCCCTTCAGTAACCTGGCATGGTGTGGCCAGATGCAGCCGCACGTGGTTTTAGCTGTAAGAAGGAAAAGCCAGGATTGGCTGTCGTTCCAGCAAGGGGCAGACGGCAGCCCTGCCACGCCCTCCAATAGGTCCTGTCCTTAAAAGGAGTTTGATATTTGATTTATAAACTCCGGAAGACTTTTGTAAAGTAAGATCGCTAGAGGCGGAAGTGAATGATTCCCCACCAGCCTGTACTGGTGCCTCAGAACACTGTCCAGAACTCCGAAGGGGTTGTGTTCATTTGCTGAGTTTCCCTAAGGTGTCCTAAGATCAGAAAAGATTTTCCTAATTGTTTGGACTTGCCCTGTCTTCTGTGCGTGCTGAGGAGCAGCAGGACCGTGTTTTGCTCTGAGACAACCGAAATGAAGAGCGTCATTGGTCTTAACCAGAGAATATTCGTTGCCATTTCACCTTAATTCGGGAATAATACCCTGGAAATATGTGTTGTTAAAAAGACAAAAAGCTTTTCTTTCTATGAGCATTAAAAGTTAGAGTTCAGTATGTGGCTGTGAGTTAAGACTTGGATTGATTCTCCAGGAGAGCTTTGGAATGTAATAAAATTTTGAGGAAGAGCAGGCGTATCCTAATAGCATTTTTATCTTTAGCTGGACTGAACCCAAACATGAATGTCAACAGCATGGACATGACTGGTGGTTTGTCGGTAAAGGACCCGTCTCAGTCCCAGTCACGCCTCCCTCAGTGGACACACCCCAACCCGATGGACAACTTACCCGGTGCTGCTTCTCCCCTCGATCAGAACCCCAGCAAGCATGGTATGTCCGAGCCGGGGTGCCTGGGATCCGGTCGCTCCTGCCGCACGGGCCGACGGTCCGGTTGTAGACATGCTCATGTTACTACACACACTGCAGCTCTTGTCTAAGAATTCCGGTAGAATGGACCCTTCCATTCCACCCGAGAGCATGTGAGATCCCAGCTAGTCCACGGTTAAAGCCCCCAAAACCGCAGCCTCCGGATCTTTGCTACAAACCCGGAAGGAGTTGAATGTGCCCCAGAGCAGCAAAGAATGTTGGTCATGGCCTGCAGATTTTTTAGTTTATATGTGTATTCTTCCACAAAAAATTGGTCTACTGAGAAGAAATTTTTTTCAATAAAATGATAAAACACAATAAAAAAGCAAATGCGTAGAAAAAAGGAAGAAGCAGAAGTGCTGATACCTGAAGGCAGCAACCCCACTAGTAAGCTTGACTTTAGCTCCCTATTTCCTCACAGCACGAATAGCAGAGGAAATATCATAGCTTTATGATTCTCTCTTGATTCTAAAAGGACAAATAAAATTTTTCCTAACTGTTAATTCTACAAGAGAATCATCACGGGCTACCTGGGCACTTTCCGTGGCAGGAGAGCGTGGTCGCCCATGGTGGGCCAGTCCACTCCAGAAGAAGATAAGGGCCCAGCGGTCACATGCCCAGTTTGTCCTTCCAGAGGGAGGGAGAGCAGGATGCACACAACCACAGAGTCCGTCGCTAAGCACAGAGACTCAGAAGCTGGGCCCCAGAAAGGCACAAGCCCGCTTTCAATGGTATGGGTTTGTGTTTTGCCACGATTTCCCACTTGACAAACTAAAATGGTTCTGAAGGAGTTTTGGTCTTGGGGCGCCTGGCTGGCTCTGTCGGTGGAGCGTGCGACTCGGGGTCTCACAGTTGTGAGTTTGAGCCCCACTTTGGGGTAGAGAGCACTTAAAAATAAAATCTTTAAAGAATAAAAAGAATTTCAGTCTTTACAGACAAAGTTGGGGCTCACCAAAGTAGTCACTTATCCTTAGCGAGTGCAGGACAAACTAAGTGTGATAGTTCGTGTACGTCTGGAAGGGGCAGGGCCTGGTGCTTAGAAGTGAGGGCGCGGGGGCTCCCCTGTTCACTCAGCTCTTTGTCTCCCGCCGTCCCCACAGGTGCTATCCCTGGAGGTCTAAGCATCGGGCCTCCAGCGAAGTCCTCCATTGACGACTCCTATGGCCGGTATGACTTAATCCCGAACAGTGAGTCACCAGCCAGTCCTCCTGTAGCTGTTCCCCATAGCTGGTCACGTGCCAAATCTGACAGTGATAAAATCTCCAACGGCTCCAGCATCAACTGGCCCCCAGGTGAGAGCGTGTAACACGTCTGCCCAGCCGCAGGTCAGAACTGCCCCAAGCCCGAAGAGAGCGCTTCCGCTCGGGAGAAGCCGGGACCTGAGCTAGGAGTCCTGGAAACAGGAACCCCACAGCTATGGCTTTTCCACTGGAAATCCTTTTGTCACACAGATTTGGGAAGTGGTTAGCTCCCGGCACCTTCCTGTAGTCCCTTGGTTCAGTGAGAGGAGTGGAAGGAGAACGGATGCTATGTTGTATCTGGCAAGACTGTTCTAGACTCCACACTGTCTGAATACTGTCGCTGTGGCAGCTGTGATCCCTGCTTCTCATGCCGGAGGATCGATGATTTCCTGAAAGTCTAGGATGGGTCTCCCATTGTAACTAGCAGATCATAGGAATTTTCATAAATTACCATGAAGGAATGTGAAGATATTATAGTACTCGTGTTTTGATTTCCATTTTGTTCGGCATTTTCTAGAATTCCATCCTGGAGTTCCATGGAAAGGACTTCAGAATATAGACCCCGAGAACGACCCCGATGTCACTCCTGGAAGTGTCCCCACCGGGCCCACTATCAATACCACCATCCAGGATGTCAACCGCTACCTCCTCAAGAGTGGAGGTGAGGAGAGCGGCCGCCGGCAGCCCGGCACAGAGGGCCTCCCGTGCACATCCGGGGGCACCGGGGTGGCGTGCAGGCTGTGGGGCAGGGACGCTGTGACACACACCTGTAGGCACTTCTCACCATCTGGGGGTAGTGCTGATGGTGAAATGGAGATTGATTTCCTGGCTTAGTACCACATCGTTTCTGACCGCTGAGCTGTAAGATCCCGAGACTGCGCATGCAGCTGCTCAGAAAAAGCTCCCACCTGAGATCTGTTTATGCTACGGGCGATTTGACCCCTTCGTCTTCCACCTCAGTCTGTTTCCTTCCACAAAGTCTGATAGAAAGACTGAAATCCGCCTCCAGCGCTGTGTTCCGGGCGCAACTCGGGGTGCTAGTTCTGGGTGCTCGCTGTGTCAGACTCAAGCTTCCGGGGGGGGCAGGGAGCAGCTGGCTGGGCCGTTGGAAGCATCTGGGCGGCTCTCAGGTGCGATGCCACGAGGGCGACGCTGATACGGTGGCAGCACTGGTGTCCGGAGAGTGGGAGGGAATAGCAGGGCGGCCGTGGACACTCGTCCCCAGTAAGGCCACTCAGGTAGTTGGACTGGCACCAGCCAGAAGTCCAACTCGGCCCTCAGTGCTTGTCGCCCTGAGTGTGGCAGGAGGGTTGTGTCCTGGGACAACTGTCCATCAGTGGATTTTGAGGATTGCGGGCAGGTGTGAAGGGGCAGCCCTGACCTGGGTATTGAGAGACCTCGGAAAGTGTCAGGTTGCTCGGCGCCGCACAGAGCTTCGTGCCGGTGCCCCGTGGGTCCTCCAGTGGTCCCTTGGCCCCCGAGTGGCCTCTGGAGCATTGCGGTGACCTCCATGTTTGCACAAGTGTGCTGTGACGGGACGGAGGTGGTGTAGAGAAGGAGGTGAATTCTGCGGGCAGGACCTAACAGCCGTCCTCCCATCCAGAGCGGCTGAGGCAGAACAGGCCGAAGGGCATCTAGAAGTGACAGGGGTCCTGGTGTCAGGATCAGATGAGAAAGTGGGGTCTCCGGCTCCAGGGTAGAGAGGCAGGCAGCCATCCAACCTGGGCACCTCGAAGCTTCATGTGATGTCATGTGACTGCGGGGGCTGTCAGGGGCCGATCTTGGACAGCTCCTGCCAGGCCCCTCCTGCAAGCCCTGGGGAGCCCTTGCTCCTGTTCCTGTGCCCTCGTGGTTTGTGTTTGGGAGAAGGAGAACATACAGGACTTCTCTTTATGTAGCCCTGGGCACGTGGTCATGCCACTGCCCCAGCACCAGCACAGCCAAGCTGCAGAGGCCGGACCTCGCCCCCACCTTTCTCCAGAGAGCTGTGTGCTGCTCCCCACACACCCATCGGCTTCCAGGCAGCCCCTGTGGCTGACCTTGCTCAGGGACCGAGCCACAAATGCCATCATACTTTTTTATAGTTTGTTTTTGGTTGTTTTTTTTTGTTTTTGTTTTTGTTTTTTGAAGTAGGCCCCACACCCAACATGGGGCTTGAGCTCATGACCCGGAGATCAAGAGTCACGTGCTCCCCGGACTGAGCCAGCCAAGCGCCCCAGTTTTTTTGTTGGTTTGTTTGTTTTTTTAATTTTTAAGTCCTCTCTGCAGCCAGCATGGGGCTTGAACCCACAACCCCAAGATCAAGAGTCCCATGTTTCACCGACTGAACCCACTGGGCACCTCCCCTCCCAGCTATTGTAGTTTTGACCAAACAGCTTGACCTAAAGTCCAGAGAGAATGAAAATTTAAAAAACATGCCCTAGACGGAAAACAGGGAGAATAGCTATTAACCTCTTGATACTGACTTATTTTACATGTTTTCATATGTAATTCTCTATTTTCTTCTGTTGAGTATCAACTATACTAGGTGTTGCTTTCTGATTTGCATTTTTGTTTTTCATTTACTGCCATTGACGTTAAGTTCTGATTTGATATTAACCTGCAGATTACAAGTCAGTTTTAATGTTCGTGAGTTTTCGTGCCCTCATTCTAAAGAGGTCGATCACAGTAGGGCAGCTGTAGACAGCTGTGCAGGTTGCACACTGCACAAGTCTGAGAGGTGCCCCATGCCTGGTCATCTCTGTGAAGCATATACCCCTGGCGTTGGTCAGCGCACCAGCCCAGGTGGGCCCCTGCATCTGGCTTCCATGTCTTGTGAGATTCTGTTTGTAGAAGTAAATGTGACAAGCACACTGTCACGTGCTCATGTCCCCACCCCACCAGCTTCCACACACTGGTGGAATAACTTTCTGAATCAGAGGAGCTCAGATTCTGTTCTGCTCTAACCCAAACTGTCAGCACTGCTTCACCCTTCTTGTTCCCCACCTTCCTGCTCTCGGAGAAGCCTGGGGGAGGGTGACATGGAGCCGCCGGACAGCAGGGAGCTGCACAGGGGCGGCCACCCCCCACCAACAGCCTCCCTCCCGGGGCACTAGGAAGTGTTTTCACAGGAGGGGACTGTGGTTGGGGGAACAGTCCTCCAGTTCCCCACACGAGGCTCTGCCTCATGCCTGTGTCACCAGGGAGAGGCTCAGACAGGACCTAGTGGACACCTGAGACATTCTGAGTCGGAATGAAGTGCTGGTCTTTCTACGGTAAAATATATAACAAAAAGCTTAGAGTTTCTTGGTTTTTTGATTTTGTGGATATTGTTTGAGGTGTGAAAAGATGGGGAGTGCCCTGTACTGTGAGTTTTAGCCTATGTGGGAGGGAGTCAGCACAATCAGTTCATGTTCTGGGCGGCATTCTTGGCATTCTGCCACCAACCCTCTTCTCCCGTGCCTGGACACCTGGCCCCCGAGAGGCTGCCACTGCCTCCTGGGCCCTGGGATCCAAGGGTCTGCCTGCCCTGGCCGTGGCCCTGACCATGTCACACCTATATGGTCAACTTCCTGGCCACAACCAGCCCCTTTGGAGCAGCCTCCCTCTCGGTGGGTGGCATGGTCACACTGCCGGGCTCAGGGCTGCCCCAGCGGCCGCCACCCACCTCTCTCAGCGCTGTGTGTGCTTCCGCAGGGTCCTCCCCACCATCATCTCAGAGTGCCGCGCTGCCTTCCTCGAGTGCCTGGCCGCTCAGTGCCTCCGGCTACGGTCGCTCTTTCAGCAGCATCGCGCCCGCGCCCAGCATTGCAGGTACGCACTGGCTTCTCCTGCCGTCTGCCCACTCGCCCCGGAGCTGGGGGGCCGTGCGGTGTGATGGAGAGGGGGCCTGGGCACCCCTGCCCCCTGCCGTGTGCAGCAGGAATGGGGACATGGCCTCTGCGGGGCAGTCGTGAAGGGCACGTGGCTGTAGGCCAGGGCACATCTGCTTCCACGGACCTGCTCCCCTCTCGTCCCCTCCCCCGTGGCTGCAGCATGAGGGGGCACAGGGGTGCAGCGCGTGTGGGCGGCCCCCACTGGGAAGTCGATGAGGGAGATGAGTAGGTCCCAGAAAGTGTGGCCGCTTCCCGCCTGTTACCTCCTCTGTTACCCTAGGCTTTTAGAAGATTTTGAAGTAAGACCTTTTGTTTAGGCTTAGAGGAGAATTGAGAAGTGTTTGTCATAAAAACTTCAGGGGAATCTGAACCAAAAAATTTTAAGACAAGGATATAAAGAGATGCAGGCCCAGACGCTAACAAGATGTGTGTCAGGTTTGTAAGTAGATAGAAGTCTTAAAGAAGGAATGTTGTTTACAGACTTCAAATATGTTTCTGTATTCCTTCAAATCTTGTCATTCAGACCTTTTTGAATCAGTGTGAGGATGCTGTAGGAATCCCTCCAACGCCAGTACCTAGGGAAGAAAGCCGTTCTGATACGGTACGGCACCCTTTTCCTTCCCTCTTCGCAGTCAGTTTATCATTTTATTTTGACCCCAGTGTGTTAACACACAGTCTCAGGTACGGCCGTAGTGACTCAACATGTAGTTTAGCATCTTACTGAAAACAGAGAGTTTCTGGATTATGTCATTCCTTCTGTTTATTCTTCCTGATGTTTACAGAGGAGACGTATGTAGACCTTTAATACTTCTGTGATCATGTAGCTGAAGAGAAGGGGCAGAGCCTAATCATTTCCCCGTATCTCCAGCCGTTTTTACAGCATTTTTGCTTTTCCGACCACTGACACCTTTGCTAAGATTAGCGTGCGTTTGTTTGAAGCCCTGGTGGCTAGGGGTGGAGGGGAGCTCCACCAGGGTCTGTGTTGGCCTGGTCGCTGCAGTGCTATGCTAGGACCACCGTGACAGTGGCCACTCTGTCGCCAGCACTTCCTGTCTGGTCATGCTGGGCAGGGGAGGCGGGCCTGGCAGACGTCCAGGTGTGCGCACCTCCCAGCTGAGGCCTGCGTCAAGAGAAGCTGGCGTTCGGAGTCATTACCAGTTGGGTCTTTTCCTCCCAAAGAGCCTTCAGACACTCTGCACCCCGTGGAGGCACTAAGATGCCAAACACTCATCCCCCAGCTGCTGGGCCACGCGCGTTTGTTTCCACCGTGCGGCCCGGCGGGCTCGTCTCAAAGCTGTGGGGTGTCAGGGGGCATTGCCTTGAAAAGGGACTGGTTGCTAAAGGAATGGTGTAAAGGATCTACACATTAGGCTTTTGTCCTCGATTAACGTGTTCCATTATAAGCTTATCCCAATAGAAGATGTCAGTGGTTCATTTTAACCTCGAACTGCAAAAATGCTGTTTCCTCAGTGGCAAACTTAGTTCTGGCACAGTCAGCGAATTCAGCATCAGCCTCCCAGCGAGGCCTCCTCAGGGCACTGGGCACAGGCCGGTGGTCAGTCTTTAGGCAGGAATTCAAGAGTGCACACACCCCCGTGTTCTCGCATGGGGGCGCTTTCCTCGGCATTTCCTGTCCATCCCCCTGGTCTGCTGGTGCCGGAGAGCACCTTGCACGCTTCTCCACACACTGCAGTGACGTCTTCCGATCTCCAGAACCCCTGTGCTCTGTCTCCCTGCCTTTCTAGGTAAACTGTCAGACATCAAATCGACGTGGTCCTCCGGCCCTGCCTCCCACACACAAGCCTCTCTGTCTCACGAGCTGTGGAAGGTGCCCAGAAGCACTGCTGCCCCCACAAGGCCGCCTCCAGGGTTAGCCAATCCCAAGCCTTCCTCCACCTGGGGAGCCAGTCCCCTTGGCTGGACCAGCTCTTACTCCTCGGGTACGAGTCCGGGCGCTCGGTGTGCGGGCGGGCCAGGGCGGGGCGCGCGGGGCCTCCGGGCCTGCTCCGCCGGCCCTTCAGGGCGTGAGTGTGCCCGTCATCTTGTCCTCTGGCTCCTTGGGAAGGACTGATCCCCCACCCCTAGAACCTGGAGAGCCTAGGAGGGGCCCCAGATTCTCGGGGCAGCGTGTGGGCGGAGCGCCTCGCCGCTGTGGTTTCCAGCTTCTGCCCGGGGCCCCAGGGTCCGGCAGGTCCGCCCAGAGGCAGGCGGGCCCGGCCGCCACAGCACCCTTCCAGGGGCCATGCTGGGCTCTTACAGAAGGTGCTTCGGCCTTTGATACGTGCTTCTCCACAACATTTCCCTGGAGCAAAGGGCTTTTCAGGCCAGAACCCAAACCAAGCCCCGCGTACGAATCGGGCCCGCATCCTGGCTCCGCAGTTCTGCCGGCCGCCCCCGGGGCCTCTGCCGAGCTGCTGCCGTGGAGCCGAGAAGGCCGAGATGGAACCAGCAGCACGGCGCTCGAAGTCCGCTCCGCGCCCATCCTGGCGGCCCCGGGGGTCTGCTGTGTTAGCCGGAGCGCCTGAGACTGGATTCTCGGGAGCGGGGACAGGCGCTTCTGCCATTCTCCGTCCATCATCCGGCCCCCAGGGCGCCTGCAGGAGTTGGGGAGCTGGGTTCCTCAAACCAAAAAGAGAATGTGGGTTTTCAAAGGTTGAGAAAGGCTTAGAGCGTGCGTGGTGCCGTGTGCGCTGTGTCGCCACACGTGGGGGCAGGAAGCCTCTGGAGGCCGCGCTGACGGGGCTGTCCCTGGCTCATGCAGGTTCCGCCTGGAGCACCGACACCTCAGGACGGACAAGCAGCTGGCTCGTTCTCCGCAACCTCACGCCCCAGGTACGGGTACAGGTCACCGAGCAGCCGGCACGGTCCCCAGTGTGTTCCTGCCACCCCTGATGCATGCCGGCCTCTGCGCCGGGGACCCTCACTCGGGCCCAAAGACAGCAGGGGCAGTGCGGGCAGACAGCCTCCATGTTCTGGGGGAACTGTTTGCTTTTTACTCTTTTGAGGCTTTTAAACAGAGTCGCTTGCCTTTAATTCTACCTACCAAAGAGTCATTTGTCCTGTGCTCCCCTTTCCTGGGATCAGGGGCCGCAGGGCTGCCACGACCTGTAGGCTCTGTGTGATGGGCCCCGGCTGGGTGGGTGGGAGGCCACAACCAAAATGGGGTCTTTTCTTTCTCCTGATTGACGGAATTCACGGGATATAACTGAAACACCCAGGATTTAAAAGTTCATAGTAAATGACAAGGTGTAAAAGGTTAAAATCATGAAGTCATATATGCTGAGCCCTTTTAGAGACAGACCTTTGCCCAGGGGTTAGTACTCCCTGGCCATATACATTTTCTTTGAAGAATGTCGTGGAAGAAGTCACGGGAAGTTCATTACCGCCCCCTTTGCTTCCTCAATCAGATCGACGGCTCCACCCTGCGGACGCTGTGTTTGCAGCACGGGCCTCTCGTCACCTTCCACCTGAACCTGACTCAAGGCAACGCCGTGGTCCGCTACAGCTCCAAGGAGGAAGCCGCCAAGGCCCAGAAGTCCCTGCACATGTGCGTGTCCTGGTCGCTGTTGGCTGTCCCCGCGGTGGCACTGGGTTCGGGCTCCCTGGGAGCGTCCAGGGCTGCCATGAGAAAGCACTACAGGCACAGACACTCATCACCTCTCAGTTCTGGAGGCACCAAAGTGTTGGTGGGGTCGGTTCCTTCCAGGGCTCCTGTCCTTGGCCTGCAGGAGGCTGCCCTCTCCCTGGGTCCTCACATGGTCGCCTCTCAGTTGAGGATGCGTGTGTCCCAACTTCCCTTCAGAAGGACACAGGTCATCGTGGATTAGTGTTCATTGATGGTCTCATTTTACTTCCATGACCTCTTGCAGACCCGTCTCTAAGAACAGGCACAGCTAAGGTGCCAGGGGCTAGAGCTTCCATGTGGGTAATTGGGGGGCCAGGATTCAAACCATAGCAGGTGTCTTGTGAAACGTGTTTCTTCTGCTGTGGAGTTGCCGTGGCCCTGCGCCCCAGTAGGGACAGGCGTCCTAAGAGTGTGCACATAAAGTACGGTGCCACAAGGAAGCCGCTGTCTCCACCAGGCATGTGACCCACCTTCCAGTCCCCGCCCCCCCCCAGCCCCGGCGCTGTTCACAGGACGCCCTTGCTAAGCTGTGTCAGGGGGCGGACTCAGTGACAGCCTTGGAGCCATGGGATAGCTGGGTCCCACGGTGGTTCTGTTTTAATTTTCTGGGGAACCTCCAGAGTGGCTGAACTACTTTCCATTCCCCTCAGCCATGAGCAAGGGTTCTCTTCTCCACACCCTCCCCAACACTTGTTACGATTTGTCTTCGGGAGTCGAGCCGTTCTAACAGGGGTGGCGAGGTCCCATTGGGTTTTGATTTGCATTTCCCTGACGCCCAGTGACGCCCAGTGACACCGAGCGTCTTTTCACACACCTCTTGGCCATCTGTATGTGTTCTTCGGAAAAATGTCTGTTTAGTTCCTCTGCTCATCTTTTAGTCGGATTTTGGGGTTTTTGTTGTTGTCGTCACTGAGTTACATGATTGTCTATATATTTTGAAAATTAACCCCTTATCAAGTAAACACTTCGTGAATATTTTTCTCCATTCCATAGGTTGTCTTTTCATTATATGGACAGTTTCCTTTACTGTGCAGGAGATTTCTAGTTTGATGTAGATCTATTTACTTTTTTCTTTTATTGCTTGTGCTTTTTTTTTTTTTTAAGTTTTATTTACTTAAGTAATCTCTGTGCACAACGCAGGATTCCAGCTCACAACCGTGAGATCCAGAGTCGCACGTACTTCCAACTGAGCCAGACAGGCGACCGTGTGCTTTCAGTGTCATATCAAAAAACTATTGCCAAGACCAGTGTCAAGGAGCTCTTTCCCTGTTTTCTTCCAGGAGTTTTATGGTTCCAGATGTTATGTTTATGTCTTTAATCCATCTCTCGTTAACTTTTGTGGGTGATGGGAGACAGACGTCCACCGGTCACTATTCCCCACGTGCTTCTCCAGCTTTTCCAGCAGATTTGTTGGAGAGACTGTCCTTTCCCCATTGAGTGCTCTGGTGCCCTCAAGTACAAATCAGTTGTCTACATGGAGCTCTGTTTCTGGGCTCTCTGTTCTGTTCCCCTGGTCTGTGCCCCTGGGGTTTTTTGCCAGAACCGTACTGTTTTGACTCCTAAGGCTTTGGAGTATAGTTTGAAATGAGCAAGTGTGATACCTCCAGCTTTGTTCTTTCTCAGAATCGCTGGGGCTGTTTGGAGTCTTTGTGGCTCCTTACAAATGTCTGTGAAGAATGCCGCTGGGATTTTTATAGATGTTACATGGAACCCAGAGATGGCTTTGAGTTGCCTGGATGGCCTCTCATTTTATCTTCTTCAGTCTCTTTCAATTAGGTCTTTTAGTTTTTTGTTTGTTTGTTTTTTAAGATTTTATTTATTTATTTGACAGAGAGAGGGATCACAAGTAGGCAGAGCAGCAGGCAAAGAGAGAGGGGGAAGCAGGCTACCCACTGAGCAGAGAGCCCCGATGGCTTGATCCCAGGACCCTGAGATCATGACCTGAGCCAAAGGCAGAAGCTCAACCCACTGAGCCACCCAGGCACCTCTAGTCTTTTAGTTTTCATTGTATAAAGTTTTCACTTCCCTGGTCACATTTATCCCTAAGGGGGGTTTTTTTGTTGTTTTTTAATGCTGTCATGAATGAGGTTTTTCTTTCTTCAGATATTTCATTGTTAGTACATAGAAATGCAGCTGTTTTTCATATGTTTGTTGCACATCCTGCAAACTTTACTGAACTCACTGATCACTTCCAGCCGTGTTTTTGGTTAGGTCTTTGGGGTTTTCTCTGTAGAAGATCACGTCCTCTGCAAATAGTGACCGTTTCAGTTCTTCCTTTCCGATTTGGATGCCTTTTATTTCTTTGTCTTGCCTGATCGCTGTGGCTAAGGACTTCTGGGGGGCTGTGGAGTACAGATGGCAAGAGCAGGCGCGCTTGCCTTGTTCCTGACCTTAGAGAAAACGCTTTCAACCTCTCGCCGTCAAGTGTGATGTTAGCCATGTGCGCGTCGCGTATGGACAGCCTCGCTGACCCGGCGCAGCGCTCCTTCTGTCCCGTTCGTGGAGGCTCTTTAGCATGAAAAGTCGAGTGTTCTGTCAGACGCTGTCGCGGCATCTACTGAGACAGGGGGACTTGGATCTTTCCTCCATCCGTGTGCTGTGTCACACCTTGTGATCTGCACGTGTTGAACCATCCTTGCGTCTTAGGAATAAATCCCACTTAACTGTGGACGTGTAGTCCTCTTTATGTGCGGTTGAATTCGGTTTGCTTAATACTTTGTTGAGAATGTTTCCACGGTGTTCATCAGGGATGTCGGGCTGTGGTTGTCTTGTGTCCTGATCTAGCTTTGGTAGCAGGATATCATGGGCCTCATAAAAGAGTTCAGGAGTGTTTCCTCCTCTCCCGCGTTTTGAAGAGTTTGAGAAGAATTGGTGTTCATTCTCATGTAAATGCTTGGTAGAATTCACCAGTGAGATCACGTGGTCATGGGCTTTTCCTTGCTGGGAGGTTTGTGGTCACTGATGCGGTCTCCTTACTCGTTACTGGTCTGGTCAGATTTTCTGTGTCTCCATGATTCAGTCTTGGTAGGTCATGGTCATCTGTTTCTAGGGATTTGTCCATTTCCTCTAGGTTGTCCAGGGTGTCAGCGCAGAACCCTTCCTGGAGTTCTCAGGACGCTCCGTACTTCTGTGGTGTCAGGCAGTCCTGTCTCCTCCTCCAGTTGTGATGGTGTTTATTGGAGTCTTCTGGCTTTTTCTTAGTCTAGCTGACGCGCTGTCAAGTTTTTTATCTCCCAAAAAACCAGCTCTTAATTTTGTTGCCGTCCTGCTCTTTTAGGTGTGTTCTGGGAAACACTACCATCTTGGCCGAGTTTGCCGGCGAAGAAGAGGTGAACCGTTTCTTGGCCCAAGGCCAAGCGCTGCCACCCACCTCCAGCTGGCAGTCCAGCACGGGGACCGGCCAGACGCGGCTGGGTGCCTCGGGCAGCTCCCACGGCCTGGTGCGCAGTGACGCTGGCCACTGGAGTGCCCCGTGTCTGGCCGGCAAAGGAAGCAGTGACCTGCTATGGGGCGGGGTCCCCCAGTACTCGAGCAGCCTGTGGGGCCCGCCCAGCAGTGACGACGGCCGGGTCATCGGAAGCCCCACCCCGCTGAACACTCTGCTTCCCGGCGACCTTCTCAGTGGGGAGTCCATCTAGGACCGAGAGGACCCCATGGGCGCCACAATCATCAGCACTAGGAAGAAGAAGCTGACCCTTTCCAGTCCGGGCGGCGCTGAGGACCCCGCGTGACCTGAGCAGCCTGGCAGCCCTTTGAGTACCTCTGTCCAGTACTGAAGACGAGCCCTGGCCGCAGTCCTTGCGAACTGTTCACGAGACAGTGCGGGCTGCGCTCGGTCGGTGTCACGTGCTGACGACAGGATGTTCCTCATAGCTTTTTATTTTGTGTTGTCTTACGTTTGTATGGTGTGTTGTCGTTTTGATTTTTTAAGTATAAAAGCTGCTTAGAATAGTTCTATCATGAAGGGCACTTTTCAGATTGTGGGCTGGAAAGGGTTATTTTATCAAGGGGGGCGGGAGGGAGGGAGACGAGAAAGCCTATTTAAAACGAGCCTGTGACGATTATGCACATTACCAGAGGCGGACCCCGTAATCAGGGGGAGCTGGTGTCCATCACTGGGCGCAGAGCATGGGCTCCATGCGGCGGGCCTGGTGGCCCAGACCGGCGAGCTGCGCGGAGGCGGCGGCCTGCGGCCTGCTCTCTGCTCCCATGGGTCCGCCTATGCACATTACCCTTGTTTCATTACTTTTTCATGCCATTTTTTTTATCCCAAAAAATATTTTTTAAAAGTTAAAAAAAAAAAAAGACATATCAAACATGCAAATACTTGAATCCAGCAGGCCAATAAGGAAATGTGAACACTTGCCGCGTCGAATTCTACACTTCCAGGCTGACGTCAGTGCGCAGAAACAGGCTCTAGGAAACATTTCTGAGTTCACAGCCTATGTGCGTGTGCATGTGCGTGTGTGTGGAAATAGAAGCGTGTGTGCGTGTGTGTGCGTGCGCGCGTGGGCGCACTTTCTGTGTTTGTGTGTTCCGTGTGTGAGGGATTTAACTGTGGGTTTTCCCTTTGATTCAGTATATGCTTTTTTTTTTGGCGCATTGGTCAAACGTTTGTTACTATTATTAGCTTCTAACTTTGCACTGAGTGTCCCTGCCCTTCCTTTTGCTAACCCTATACATGAAAGAGAATTCATAGGACAGGGCTGGTGACAGTTCACGTGTAAATGTTTACTCAAGGACTCTGTTATCGCGTTTAAAAATTACAGTGTATATCTCTGGAGAAATAATCTGTATACCTACCTTTAGCAGCTTTTTATTGTGGACTAATGCAAGAGAATTACCAGAGTATTGCACCGTGTTTCCATATGGACTAGAAAGTGAGAGAGAAGACAGCTGTTGCAGAACTGTGGCCATAGATCCTCGCGGAGACCGGACGGCTCCGCGGGAGGAACGGAGACAAGCACTTGGACGTGGGTGGTGACCGCTTTCGGAGGAGCCCGTGCTTAGGGCTCCCACCTGTTTACAGACCTTTTTTTCTCCTTCAGACTTTAAAATAAAAAAATTTTAAAAAGGAATTTAAAAAAAAAAAGAAAAAAAAAAGAAAAAAAAGAGACTTCCGTGGTAAAGAAACCTATTTTCAGAATGCAGATACGCTACTTCAGAGCTCTGGGATTGAACAGTGTCGTCGCTTCCCTCCGGCCATCGTTGTGGACTGTCGATTGTCCCCCTTCGTCGAGGTGACGAGACGTTGTGGTCACTGTCTTGCACATGCGGACGCGCTCTCAGGAAAGCCAGGGTTCCCGAGGGGCAGCTCCACACCATTTCATGTATTTTGTAACCCAACTCCTAGCACTGAAGATGTTATTAAAAAACAAAAAAAAAAAAAATAAAGAAAAAAAAAGAAAAAAGGAAAAAAAAAAACACAAAGAAGAAAAATACCTAATCTCTAATGTGTAGCAGTTACATATTTACCAAATAACGGACTCAAAAGAAATAGATGTTTGAAGAGTGCTTTATATATTAAAAATTGCTTTATGTTTTAAAAATGATCAATGTTTTGATTGTTTTGCAAGAAAGACAGACAATGGAGTAACATACCCTCAAGTATGTTTAAAAATATATGAACATTGTGCTCCCTGCCTGCTTGATCAGGAAACTTGTGCATTACATTTTTTTTAATTAGCTTTTTAATGGTTTTATCAAAACAAAACAAAAGAACAAAAAACAAAAAAAAACAAAAAACCCACAAAAAAAACAAAAAAAGAAGGTCCTGCAAAATTGCAGATCAACAAAAGCTGGTTTTATAGAGGATCATGAACTATGCACAAACTGGGTTCAAGACTTGTTTTCTCAAGCTGAGTCGTGTTAGCGAAACCAACCTTCCTCAGAGTACTAGCATCTCATTGCCGTTACATGCGTTCTATATATTCGATGTACATACCCTCACGTGTGTATATCAAATATATGTGCGTGCGTGCGTGTGTGTGTGCGTGCGGGCACCCGACGGCTCTCCTGCTGCCGCTTCGCATCGAGCTGTAGAAAAACTGAGAATTTTAAATTGGGGATGGAAGTAAAGACTCTGTTTGTTTTTGGGTTTTGTTGATTTTTTTTTTTTGACCTTTTTCTTTTGAATTAAAAGATGTCTGTAACTCTGAGATTAAAAAACAAGTTTGTGGCTTTTAATGTTTTTTCCTCATAGAATGTGATCGTTGAAGAACATGCACCGAAAGTTGCTTTCCGAAGTACAACGCTTTGTTGAATCTTAATAAATTGCAATTTTTTTCTTGGCTGTTCAAATAAATGTGTTTTTTTATTTTTCACAGACAGAGAGCATCGATTTGCGCTTTGTACGTGCTGGGGAGAGCGCTGTTGTGCCGTCCGTAACAAATTCCCTGCCTCTGTTCGTGATATCCTTAGAGAGTTTCCCTTAGGTAATTAAATGAGCTCTGAATTTCTGTTATTTGGCTTGTAATTTTACCGTGTGTTTTGCGGCTTTGCAGTTCGCACTGAAGCCTTACTGCTGATCACCCAGAGGCCGCAGCAGAGAGGGTGAGCTCGCCGCCGCCGCCGCTGCGCCGCATCGGAGATGTAGCCGGGGCCCGTGGGCCGACCCGGTTTGGGCCTCGGAAATATTTGGACCAAAGAGAGTAATGAAGGTCTTTTGTGTTTCCTGGACATTTTATTCATATATCCTTGTAAAGTAGCCTCAACCTGTGAAAGGTGACGTTCGCAAAGCATTTTGCACAGGCAGAGTGGATGGACCTCAGGGCGCCGCAGGAGGCTGTGGCTCTGTCCCTGTGGCATCTCCAGGGGCAGCTGGAGAGCCGGCCCACTCCAGCACCAGGACCTTAAGTCACTTGAGCAAGCGTCGGTGCTTCTGATCACCGGGGTTATAAAGACGGTCTCTGGGAGGCAAGCCAACGTGTCCTCTGACCCCTGCTCAGAGACCAGCAGAATGAGTGCCTGGGACAAGGGGTGAGCTCTCAGCTCTGCCTGACCTCTTCGGAAAGTCACGAAGGACAGTACTGAAGGGGCGCCGGTCGGGAGAAGTGAAGAGGGACGGGAGGCAGAGCACAGCGAGCATTCTGCCGAGCAGGGCCCGGCGTCTCCAGAGTTACTGGGAGAGGCCCTGCTCTCCCGGGTCACGGCCTCGGAACATCCAACGGCTGCGCCAGGCTTCCTGCAGGAGGTGGCGCGGCCCCAGGCCCAGGAGGCCGGATTGGATTTTGACAGCCTGGGGGAAGCAGGGGATGGGTGGCTGACACAAGGTAAACTGAGATCTGGAGTGACTGCTCGTGAGACCGGGCTGGGGAGCAGGGGTCCCGGTACCCCTGGTAGCAAAGAAGGCTCCGTGTCTAGAATCAAGAAAACAGGTGCGGAGCCGCACTTCTTATGAAATTGTTCTGACGACACCGTAGGGGAGTGGCAGAGACCAAAAGGGTGCGGTGGGTTGTAGCAGGACTTCAGAGAGAGCAGGGTCTGAACAGCAAGGAGGCCAAACACTGGTTCTAGTGACAAAGACGAGAGCTGAGCACTAAGCACGTGCTTGCTGACAGGAATGAAAACAGAGACGGACATTTCAAGAAGATTCTTCCCAGGGACAGCACATCCAGGATGGACCAGGGAAAACCTACACCCAAGTCCCGGTGGAGTCGTCCTTAATCTGCCAGCCCCATGCACCGCACCTCAGTGTGAGACTGTGCCTCGGCTGTGAAAGACAGAAGCACGTTTCCAGAAGCCCCTAAGTGGGCTTAGTAGACCCCGATCAGATGCTGCCTATAGCACGGAGCAGTGGTCCTCAACCCAGCTGTGTGTTAGAATGATCTGGACTTTTTCTTTTTTAAGATTTTACTTATTTGACAGAGACAGCGAAAGCAGGAACACAAGCCGAGGGAGTGGGAAAGGGAAAGCGGGCCTCCCTCTGAGCAGGGAGCCCGAAGCGGGGCTCGATCCCAGGACCTTGATACCATGACCCGAGCCAAAGGCAGCCCCCCAAGGACTGAGCCACCCAGGCGTCCCTGGACATTTTTTTAAATCCCAGTGCCAGGACACCTTCCAAACCAGTGCAAGCTGCAGCCTTGGGGGTGCGCCCTTGGCTGGGTCCAGTGAGCAGCCAAGGCCGAGAAGCAGCGGTGTGGACGGATCTTGTCATCGGCCCGAAACAGCTATGGGCCTCGCGTCCACTGGAATAGCAATTCCTAAAAGTTCAGTTGGCAATTACAGCTCTTTTTTTTTTTTTTTTAGATTTATTTCAGAGTGTGTGCAACGGGGAGGTGAAGAGGGAGGGAGAGGAGCAGCACTTGCCAAGTGTGGAGCTCAACGAGGGGCTCGATCTCATGACCCTGAGATGTAACCTGAGCGGAAATTGAGTCAGACACTCAACCGACTGAGCCATCTAGGTGCCCGCTTTTTATTTTAAAGCAAAACTGGGTCAAGGATGGTGCTAACTAAGCTCTCTAGAGGACCTGTGTCTTGCGCTCCAGTAGCCGCAGGAGGTGACGAGCTGGGCTGGGTAAGGTCACAGCTGGGCAAGGTCACAGAATACGCCCAAGACCCAAGGCTAACAGGTCAGATGCAGGCCCACTCCCCCAGGGGCTCCACTGTGGAAGGAACCCGGCGAGACGCGCTAACCAGAGGACCCCAGCCACACGGGTATCAGAAACAGCAGGACGGGGGGCAGACGGACACAAGGAGAGCTGGGTCACGCGGTGGCAGGGTGGGCCAGGCAGCCTCAGGCAGAACTTCTTCAGAAAACCTAGGTTTTGCTCTTAAGGCCTTGCAACTGCTTGGATGCGGCCCACCCCCGCCACTGGGGATAATCTTCAAGTCAACAGTTGTCCGTGTTCAGCGCACACCCCGAGTCCCTCGACAGCAGCACGTGCGACTGCCTGAGTGAGGGACGGATGCACAGAGCGCTAGTCCTGTAGGAACCTGGGCAACCCTTCCAGGCAACCTGTCACAGGCGGGCGACACGGATGGCAGTGCCAGCTCAACCCAGAAGTGGCCAGGTTGCGCCCCCCCCCCCGCCCCGCCACCAGACAGTGTATCTGTGATCAGAGGGAGGCACCAGGAAGGGTGGCGTAGCCCAGAGAGCCCTCGGCCAGCCCCACGCCTTCTGAGACCTCCACCCAGCTGCACCCCGCGGTGCTCATGCCCGAGGCACAGGGAAGACCGGCTGCCGGGACTAGCATGAGCTCTTTGCAGAGATCTCAAAGCTCCAGGTCGGGGCGTGGCCATGACCGGCCCAGGAAGCCTGAGCTGTCAGGGGCACCAAGGGCGCCATCGCCCACCTACAGAAGTTTAGGTGATGCCCGGTGAGCCTCTAGGCCACATCAGCAGGTGGCACCTGTCCCTGCCCGTCTGCCAAACAGGAACACCCCCACGAGACCATCTCAGAAAGAGGCGGTTTGGGGGAGCGTGGGCCCAGCTGGGGACACTGCCGGTGCTGGGGGCATCTCCACTATGGGTTTGACCTTGGCCCTCCCCACTGCCTCACCCAGGCCTGACCTTTCCTCTTCTGGACCCCCCCCACCGTGGGATGAGGGGCAGTGGGGCCCGTCACTGCTCTCGTCCTGCTTCCCCACCTGAGGCCACTGCCCCAGCTTCTGCAGACGTGGGACGCTGGGGCTGTGACGGCCGAGCCCTCCTTCCCGTACTCAGGTTCACGGCATCCCACAGGACCCTCAAACAGCCTGGCAGGATCTGGGGTCATCACACCACCAGTCACAGGCAGCCAGACCCCCTCCTGCCCCAGGCCTGGGTGCTGGCCGCCCCTCTGCCTGGCAGGCCCCTCTTCCATGGCTCATTGGACCCTGAGAGCTCATCCCCGCCAGCCTCTCAAATGTGCCCTGCACATGCCTTGGCCTGATGACCACGCAGTGTCAGCACTGACCGCTTCATCGCCCTGGACGCCGCCCTCCTGGCTTGCTGGCACAGGTGCGAGCCTCCAGGGCACAGGCTGGTCAGGGGCAACCTTCAAGCTGTGCTTTGCGGTCCACCCTGCCATCTGGGGCTTAGCCAGCAGAAGGCGCCCTGCGCTCCGCACCAGGCGGCCCCCAACCCACACCTCGGAGGGCACTGGAGGGCGGAGTGCCGAGAAGCATTCCGTCGGAAAGAGGAACTGGGGGGGTGGGTTCCCACGCCCTCCACCCAAGGCTGTGCACCGGGTGAGGGCACAAGGCACAGCAGGCCCGCCTATGAGCACAGAATCCCAGGGGCGGCTCATCTTGCAAAACACGTTTTATCAGAATAAATAGTCCCCACAGGACACCATCCACGGGGGCCCCCCAACCACTTGCCCACCCTCCAGTGCCAGCCTCGATGCGCTGCAGAGTCCCGGGTCGGTAGTTCCCCTACAGGGCCAGGGGAACGGAGAGTGGCCCAGGCGCAGGCCGCACCTGTGAGCAGACACAGAGCCTCCAGGCCTGTCGCTGTCCTACCAGGCATCCGGATCGTCCACCAGCCTCTCGGCCTCCTGGCTTCTACCAACCCTGCCAGAAGGGGGAGTCAGCGAGGAGCCCCAGGGACCTGGGGGTATGTGGGAGGCTGAGGAGTCCCTCCGGGCGGGCCGAAGCCAGACACCCAGCAGCCCCCCTCGGGAACTGCCTTCAGGCATCCCGACCGTAAAGACGCGTCTGGACAGCCTCAAAGGGCCGGACAGACCTCCCCTGTGTCTGTAGGTGAGGCGGGGAGGGTGGAGTCAGACGGCTCAGTCTGTGGGTCCCTGCTGCCTAGGGATGAGCCCCAGGGCCTCGGATGGCCCCCCTGGCCTGGCACATGCACCCCCTGGGGACGGAGAGGGCCAGCTCCTGGGCACTCCGACTTGGGAAGTAAAGGGCCGCAGTGCCCAACTCTGCCCGCCCCACGCACACTTATTTCTTCTCTAGTTTCCTTTTCTCACCAGACTTCACCAGGCCGGAGCAGGAGAGCTGGGAAGGAGGGTGGCCAGGGAGCCCCGCGCACCTTCCCTCCTCACCCCAGCTCCACACGATGCCCAGCCCTGGCCCCCTCCCCCCAACACTCACACACCAAGTGCCTGACCCCTCCCAGGCCCCTCACCTGCTCCTCTCCTTCCTCTCGTAGACAGAGTGAAGCCTGTTGATCAAGAAGACTTTGTCTTCCCCCTCCTAGAAAGGCCAGAACACAAAGGGTGAGTGGACAGTCATCCCTCTCTGTCTGTCTGTCCGGAACAGACTACTCCACATGACAAGCACAAAATGTTTAAAGGGGGAAAGGGCACCAAACGACAGAAAAACCAAGAGCCGGGCAACGGGCATACGTATAGATAGATCTAAGCTTCCTAGTGGCCAAGGCGAAAAAGGACATGTGATAAGGGGCACAGGAAGGCCACAGAGTCAGCCTGACTTCATTTAAAACTGGCATCGCCACTTACTGACTCTGTGTTGGGCAAATTACCTCCTGTCTGACCGTTTACACCATCTGTAAACGGGAGATAAGGGTGACTGCAGCGTGGGGCTGTCTGAGCTTCTACTGTTCTAATGACCACCAAACTGGTGGCTTACGACAACACAAATCCGTCTTTCAGTTCTGGAGGTCAGCAGTCCAAAACGGCTCTCACTGGGCCGAGGATCACGGTGTCAACGAAACTGGGTCCTTCTGGAGACTCTCGGGAAGCAACCTTCCTTCCTTTTCCAGCTTCTGGAATCTGCCCGTAGCCCTTGGCTCTCTGCCCCTTCCATCCAAGTCCGTGGGTACGGAGGGCCATGTCCGCCCTGCCCTGGCCCGGGAAGAGCCACTCCGGGGGCCTAGCCCAGCCCAGACCTGCAGCTCCCACGCCCCGCCCTGGTCTGCAGCCGGGGCCTGCCCGGAGAATGGTCTTCCTGCTCCCAGATTGCTAGCAGGTAGAGCTAGGACCCTCCTCCTGGCGCGGCCGTGCACCCACCGGCCCCGCCGCCACCCCAGACCCCGCAGGCGCCCTGACGCGCCACACGGTAGGGCAGCAGCCAGATGGCAAAAACCCAGCCTCCGCCAGAATGCCCGGCCTCGAGCCCTGCTCCCTGGGGTAAAAGGGAAGCAGACGGGGCTCCTAGTGTGTTCCCTGAGCCCCCCGAGAAGTGGGAGCTGTCCTTAAGGGACCTCCTGCTTGGGATCCGGGCCCTGCACTGATGAGCCAGCAGCCGGGGCCCCCGCCTACCGCCCCCAAGCCTTGTCCTACCCTGGCTGAGCCCCCAGCACGCGCCGGAGGAGGTGCAGCCCCGGCCCCAGGTGAACGCCGGGCCACAGGCACTGCTGGCCCCACAGTGGCCCAGCATCCAGCAGGCAGTGAAAATCTCCTGAAGGAGGGGCGCCTGGGTGGCTCAGTGGGTTAAAGCCTCTGCCTTCGGCTCAGGTCATGATCTCAGAGTCCTGGGATCGAGCTCCACATTGGGCTCTCTGCTCAGCAGGGAGCCTGCTTCCTCCTCTCTCTCTCTGCCTACTTGTGATCTCTGTCTCTGTCAAATAAATAAATAAAATCTTTAAAAAAAAAAAAAAAAAGTCTCCCGAAGGGAAACGGCCGTGAGTAGACTGATGGCAGTAGACTGAGGTCAGAAGACCCCCCGCGTCTCCGTGGAGACCCAGGGTCACTGGCAGGTCCAGCTGAGCAGACCCCAGCAGGACACAGTCCCCAGGCGGGAAAGGGCTCCCCTCGGGCTGGGCTGGAGAAGCTCAGGGCTGGCAGATTCCCAGGGGCCGACTGTGCGGCGGGGGTCCCAGCACCCTGGGCTCCGAGCCCCACCCTGCCTCTCACGCTTTGGTGATAAACTACAACGGGCTTAATAAAACTGATTTAGGGGGCACGTGGGTGGCTCAGCCGGTAAAGCATCTGCCTCCAGCTCAGGTCATGATCCCAGGGTCCCTGGATCGAGTCCCTG